GCATATACAGACAGACAGACAAAAATTGTTATTTTGGCATATGTACCGTGTAAACATACATTGTATGTTTACACGGTACATATGCCAAAATAACATGTCTGTCTGTCTGTCTGTCTGTTTGTTCCGGGTAATCTCTGGAACGGCTGGACCGATTTCGACGGGACTTTCACTGGCAGATAGCTGATGACATAAGGAGTAACTTGGGCTACTTTTTTAGACTATCTTCGCCCCGCGGCGTTGCCCACGGTTATAACAACAAATGCGGGTCGCGGGTCTCAGCTAGTTATTAAATATTATTACTAGCTGTAGCTCAAAACTAACATGTATCCACGCCGTATTATAATACCGTTTTTTTTATAATATCGAACACAGAAAGTTTCAGAAAGCTTCTAAATTACTCACTTAAAACATCGTGGAACATTCAAGAAAGTTCCAACTTTTTCTGGAACTTTTGATTAGTTCCGCTACTCGATAAGTGATGGCGGCACGTGTCTCAACTTGAGCAAAGGCCAAAGTACTCAGTGGGGAAACTAATATAATAAACCGACAGAAAACATTATGAAGAAAGAAGCTGAGATAGGCTGGATGATGGACAAAAAATTTAGATGAATTAATAGGAAAATACAGTTTGTTTTGGTAGAGAATGTACCGTATTAACGTACCATTTAGCTCCAGTCTTATGAATTTTAATAGTCATAATAAGAATAACTTCACATGGGGGAGCCTCCTGGGAGAGCCATGCTTCGGCACGAATGGGCCGGCTCGACCGGAGTGATACCACGGCCTCACAGAAAACCGATGTTAAGCAATTCTTTCGTTGCTTTTCACTGACTCGCTGACTCGAGCGGGAGGGACTCCAAGGGCGGCAACGCACTTGTGACTTTTGAGTTGCAGGTGTCCATAGGCGGCGGTAGTTGCTTACCATCAGGTGACCCGTCTGTTCATTTGCCCCCTTATACCATAAAAGAAAGCAATCGAAAAAACTTACAATAAAATATTTCAGCACAGAGTAAAGTATTTTATAAAACTAGAACATTGATTTTTATACTTCGCTTTACGTAGCTACGAGGTACGCAAACTCCTTACATAACTCGCATAATGAGTTTCATCCGCTAATTTACAGTGAACTGGTTTAAATTAAACGGCGTTGACTATTAATGACAGTTGTTTGCACTAGTTAGGTGTGAATCAGATTCGTACATAAGTGTCTCACAAACTTACATGCGCAAGAGAAACGTTGGTGTCAAATAGAGTATGGATTTAAACATTTAAGTTAATATCTTTTTAACATCTTGGCAACTACGATCTGATAATCCAGGGTTTATTTAGATTAGTTTCCTAAGTTTAAATATATAAAACCAATTTAACAACAATACCCATTGTCTACAAAATAATTTCGATATTTAACATCTTCCGGCGTCCTGCGATGGCAGATTTAGATTTTATTTCAGACTAGGTGGTACCCGCGTCTTCGTTCGCGTGAAATTTGAAAAGCGCTGCCTTAGTTGGTTCGATGCCCGGACCAGGCAAAATTTTAAAGGGTTTTTCTAAGAGGAAAAATAGCCTAAGTTATTCCATATGTAGACAGCTACCTGGTAATAAAATATTATCGAAATCGGTCCAGCCATTTAGAAGATTACCCGGAACAAACAGACAGACAGACAAAAAAAATAAACTGATTTTTAGGCATAGGTATCGTGAAAATAACCGTGTGAGCATGAAAAAATCCTATAATTTTGACATTACAAACAGACACTTCAATTTTATGTATAGATTTTTTGTGACAATGAGTAATCGTGATTAATAATTATCAGTGTGGTGGAGAACGTAAAGCATTCCATGTTTTAAAACGTTTTAATTAAACAATATTAATAATTTCATTTTAGTCGCAATTACGATTAGGAAACGGCAAAGTTGTCGGTGTTCGTGTGTATAATATCCATTATTAGTTATTATTACTACACATAATAGTAGTAAACGTTATGGCACTTGTTTCCGGCTGGTAACACCGAGAAAATCCCTCAAGTGTTGCCACCTTCAAAGGTACCTTTAGGTGATAATTTGCGATAGTAACGCTGTACGCATGAAAATATCAATTTAAAGGTAGTTTTTGACGTGACAACGTCTTATAAATCGGATGGAGCCGGCTGCACGCACGAAAAAACATGACTCATGCGGCGTTACCTCGCTCTGAGGCGTTCCATTTAAGGCGTGAAGTGCAAGCGAGAGCGCGGAACGAGTGACAAAGAGGCACAATCGGCCTCCGCGTTCGGCAGCGTTCGACATCTGTCTCTCTCCTACTTGAGTGAGCGATGCGTCCGCGTGGACAGCTGCTACTCGTATACAATAATACATTTTTGAAAAATGCAACCATTCCATAAGTATTTTCTTATGACGTTGTCACGTTCAACTATCGTCAGTAAACCGACTTTACAGACAACCGATTTTTTTGTTCTACAAAAGAAGCCCGGAGATCTGAAAGTGTGTTATTGGTCATTAAAAAAATCTGTTCACCTCTTTGTAGATGACTAGTTCTTTTCTAATAATTAAAAGGTTTATTGACTGCCGGTATTTTATATTCATTATTTACACTAGCTACAGTAATCTATACCACTATTACAAATGCGAAAGCGTGGGTGGTATACGAAGGGATTTTCGCAAAGAAAAAAAATGGGGGGAAAAGAGGGGTGGAGGTTTGAATAGGGAATCTAAAAAAAACCGGTTAGGTACGAGTCGAACTCGTGCGCCGAGGGTTCCGTACCTACCCAGATTTTACGTAATTTTCTTGAAAATTTGTAAGTACCAAAATTTATCTTAATTTTCAACTTTTTGTATTTTTTGGCATTATTGCCTTTTTTGTGCTGTAAGACGTTTCTTTTTGCCAAATTTCGTGATTCTAGGTCAACGAGAACTACCATATAGGTTTTCGACCCAAAACCTCTAGGGTACTCCCGGTTGACCAAGAATTATCAATTTTAGTTAAAAGCAAGGTCTTACGATAAAGGGCATAAGTAAAGAGAAAATTCTGAAAAATAAAAAAAGTTGAAAATTAAGGTAAATTTTGGTACTTACAAGTTTTCGCGAAAATCGAAATTTGCCCGTATCTTTTTATCGTGTTGACTCAGGACCTTGATTTTTATACACCTAATAGGGGCGATAGACCTCAGTATCTGGTAAAAATTTCAACTTACTAGGTCTACCCGTTCCTGAGAAAATCGGTGGTGACACACGGACAGACGGATAGACAGACAAGAAAGTGATCTTATAAGGGTTCCTTTTTTACCTTTTGAGGTACGGAACCCTACTATATGAAACAAATACCTACCTACCACTTTTATTTTATATTTTAAATTACTACAGCGTGTAGTAAAAAGTTTGCCATACCGTCAGCGGTCGTTGACGAACTAAACAATGGGCGAGTGTGTCAACACCACAGGCCAAGCTACTCCACTCCGCGGGTAAGTACATAGATTATTAAATCTTCTTTGTTATTAAAGTTTCTTTATCACGAATTCGTTTATCGGGGCCTTGCAGAACGTGGAGTTTATTGGCACTAACTGTTTATTGGTTTTATGTCCCATTCTTTTCCTACACTGGAAATAAGCACTTGATACGCATAATATCCTTCCTTTATTGACTGTAATACAACACTTAGCATGCATATTAAACTTGTATGCTCGCATAGACATTGCATGCATAGATTTTGATTTGTAACATGTTTTCTCCCGCTTTCCTGTAATGTGTGGGCCTTATTTCGTGAAAAGGGACGGAAATGTGTAACAAGATGCCGGGGATCGGAGATGTCAGATTCTTCACATCATATGTTGACTGGCCTGTTGGCCTAGTGGTTAGTGACCCTGGCTGCTAAACCGGAGGTCGTGAGTTCGATTCCCACCCAGGACAAATATTGTGTAATGAGCACTATCATTTGTTCTGTTTTGCTGTAATTTATCTATAATATGTATGTACTTAGAAATAAAAAAGCATGTTTATCAGAAGTCTGGTTACCATAGTACAGGCTCTACCTAGTTTGAGACCAGACTGCCGTGTGTGAGATGTGTGAGGTTATTATTATTTGCGACTACTGTAAAGTTCCCTCGATTTCTTTGTTAACATTGGTTTTATTTTCATAGATATTTGCCTTAGTAAAACTAATTTTGGAAGTGTAAGTATAAGTTATCAAAATGACTAAAACTTGGTCAAGAGAAACTTTAATCCTTATTAAAACTACAATCTTAGATTAAAATGGGTATACGCATTTTATTAAGAATTAAAACGTTTATGATTGAGTGTGTAAACTGGATGCGAGAAGCCCAAAATCTATCTAAGGGGCGTGCAATGGGAGAGGCTTATGTCCAGCACTGCGATAGGCTGATGATGATGATGTTTATAAAGGAAATCTTAATTACCTCACTGAAGTTACTATTCAGTAAATAACTGAGTGCAACATTTTGAACAAATCACTCCAAGCAATTTATGTAAAACAGGAACATGCAATTTCGGAATTGCTATAGAAAAGACAATCTGGTATACATATATTTTTGTTGTTAAGAATACCGTTATCAACAGATAACAAACCAAAGAATAACATCATCATCATCAACAGCCTATACTAGTCCACTGCTGGACATAGGCCTCTCCTTAGAAAGGAGGTTTTGGCCTACTATACCACGCTGGCCAGACGGGTTGGTATAGGGTTTGTTTCAAGTTTTCCTTCTCTTTGCAGTGCTGTTGTCCTGCTTAGTTTGCTCCCTTAGTCGGCTCTTACGACACCCACGGGATGAATTGGGGTGGTGACAATTTGTATTCTTAATCCGTCACCACACGGACTAAACAATAACAACAATTAGACCTAATTGCCTTCTTATTGAACTTCCCCATCCTGTTACTTTAAAATGTGGCTATAAGTCGTTCAGTTCAGAAGCCATTTTCCTAGGTAATTAATGAGAAAATAAACAGTCAACTAAAACGGCATGATAACTATTGTACTGTCCACATACCTGTTCTCCTGCAATATATTGTTGGTGTGTTGTGTGATCACTCCGGAGAAGGTGAGCGCTTGGCTGATACTCTGTCCGATGGCATCCTGCGATGATATTACCAAGTTCTCAACTGATTTTCTCCTAGGACAAACAAAAGCTAGATTTAATCGTTTAAAGAAACATTTAGAAGATGCGTGTGCTTTAGTAGATATGCCCCGACCGGCATCAATGCTACTACGATAAGAGCTAAGAGACCAAATCTTCAACTTCAAGATGTCTATCGATCAAGAGGCTACCCAGGAAATCCGTGTATCTTGCAATAGATACAAGTAGTATCGTATTTGGTTTCAGTCGATCAGTCTGGCGAAATTTTCGACACGTTAAAAGAATTGAACAAAAAATTGGTTTCAATTTGAGGAGCCTTAAAGGCATGCAGCGACACGGGACACATGTCTCTTAAGACTGGTTATTTCGATAGGCTTATTAGAAAGCATGTGGAATAAGAATTAAGTAACTTTTTGTAGAGAAATTTATTTTTAAAGACGTAACATCCCATTTCAAGAAATGTTCTCAGTCGTCGGAAACTGTTTTTGTGTAAATTAACTCATTACTTTGTATGTATATGGCTGGACCAATTTAGAAAATTATTTTTAGTTTCAGAGGGTATACTTTCTAGTTAGTTATATTGTCGTCAGATCAGGATTTGATGTTGTGATTCTGGGAAAAAACGAGATAACTTGCCGAATATAAGCATCCGATTTCGGCATTTTTATAGTAACACCGATATTTTCTCCCGAGAAGCACCATTTGGTAAATTAGATTTTGTCTGAAGACTACAGAATATGGCCATTAGAACTACTCAACATGTAATAATTATTATTTGTTTTGCCAGTTACAATTTGATTACTGTATAATATGATTAGATTAGATTATGAGTAATTCATGTTCGTCACAACCCATATGGCAAATTGGAGCTAATGATTAAGTAGCCTCATCATCCCTACATCGATAAGGCAATAATTCGTAAAAGTTGATATGTATTGATTAATTAAATACTGACCTAAAAAGCGAGACTTAAACATAAAAAAATAATTAGTAAACGATTCCGAATAATTATATACGGTATTTGATTCGAATGCTTTTATTGTGTATGTCGCATTGCCCTCGCCGATGGTGAAAGGTTAATAATTACTTACAATACTTAAGATTGATCCATTTTAAATTATAGCCAGTCAAAACTGAAGCGTCTTACATTGCGCTGACCTTAAACGGAATTGGGAGACAGGCAGGAAGATGATGATGATGATGATATTAAGACTTTTTTGCCGACTTCAAAAAAGACGGATGTTTTTTTTTTTTTTTTTTTGTTTAGCCTCAGAACTATCATAATATATATGAACCAATTTGGAAAAAAAAAACATAGGTTTTCTTCCCGTTTGATTCCATTCAAATTTTAAGTTAAAAATTTCACCTCTAAGGGTGTTAAGTTAAGGGCTAAAGGATACAGATTACTACAATTCATCATTATGTATTTCAAATCAGTGATACTCTTCCAAAAGTTAATTATTGCTATGTAGGTACTCCGTTTCTTAATCCTAGAAAAGTTTTAAATTTAATTATGTAGACGGTATGTTACATACAGACCTTTACATTAGTTAGGTACATGTTGTATGCCGGACTTTTGCATAAGATGAGTGTGAGATAAGAGAATACAAGGTATTTTCGTAGTATAATAGTAAAGTATTCAGCAGACAGTGGTGGTGAGCGTCGCTGACGCGTCGCACGCAGTACTCCCTAAACCTATCCCTGGGTCGCAATTCCCAGGCGCTGTCGAAATCGCATGTACTGAAACCGTCTATCACGCGATGGACCCGACACCCGCATGGTGAATCCATGGAACGTTAAGAAATAGATCTAATACTAGCAGATTACATATTCTTGGTTACAACAAGATACAATCACATTACAGTCAACGTTTGATGTTTAATACTTTACTTTACTACGAAAATACCTTTCATAACAGTTTTGAGATAGAAAGTTGATCGGAACTAAATTGAGACAGAACTTTTATTATGAGAATTGGCCCAGATTGCAGAGATAACAATTCCCAAAAGTTACTTAACAGATTTAGTGTTAGAACAAGATAACTCTCATCATATTAGTGTCCTGTATGTTACTTGGTGACACTTAATTATTTATTTATAAAAAAAATATTTTTATAAAAAGACAACTCATTAGGAATATATCCTGTGTCGCGATTGACTTTAAAAACATACATAAAACGGACACAAAGAACACCCAGACTCAGAACAACAATTTGTGGATCACACAAAGTGTTGTCCTATGTGGGGATCGGACCCACAACACTCGGCGTAGTAGTAAGCGGCGTGGCGAGCACTTAAACCACTACGCCATCTGTGCAGTCATAATTTATTGTTAGCTCACTACCTTGAATTATACACAATTTAATCTATCTTGTCAATTGACCTGAAAGCTCATACATAGAAATTATTTGTCACTGGTGTATTATTAGGATTTCAATAAAACCAACAAAAAATTCCCATGTGCTTGTTTCTTTAATGGAAAATCTCTAAATAGACTTCAAATGAAATCGATAAAAATGAAAGTCTTATTCAGTTTATAAGTAATTTAGTCTTGTGACTAAACGGCTAATTATATGACTAAGACATTCAGACAAAGCATTCATGAACTTTTACGTCATTTAAGTACATATTTATATATTAATTCCTGCTTGTGTTTTTGAAAAGTCCAAAAGCTATATTATTAGCATGGATAAAATTTCGTTTCGTAAAATCTAGGTCTATGGAGATAGAATTAATATGTTTTACCTCTGCTGTTTCCGAATGTCTTGACAAACGAATAGTAGATAGTAGTAGTAGTAGTAGATGCAATTTATAAAGATTTTACTAAAGCATTCGATAAAGTAGATCCCAGCCTTCTTATAAGAAAACTGGCTCAACTTGACAATGATGGATTATTAATCAGAGGGATAGAGTCTTATTTGGAAAATAAGACTTGTAAATTTGTGGTAAATGGATATTTCTCTGAATACTATACGATAACCTCCGGTATACCGCAAGGATCGCAGCTTGGGCCAATATTCTTTAATGTTTTGGCATAGGAAGTTGCCTTAAGTACTCACGTTACTCTCTATCTGCGATGACCTGAAGATTATGATGCCAGAGCAAGACAATGTGAATGCAAAAATGCTACAAAGTGATATAGATAGGCTGACAGAGTGGTGCAGACAATACTATATGCTAATAAATATAAATTAATATTATTATATGCAGTTCAACCGCAACAAACGAATTCATGACATCTCATATAACATAGAGGGAGTTCAAATTAATAATGTTGATGTTATTCGCGACCTAGGTGTTCAATTGGAAAGCGTGACATTTTAATTATTTAGTCTGTCCGATTTTGGAATATGCTTCAGCCACACTGAAGTGTACGTTAAGCGATTGGAGTGTCTAAAGCGATACCTGGTACCATCCAGATATCACTTAGCAAAAGAACTCACTAGCTACACTTAAAGGTCGGAACATAAGGGTCGGCGCGCCGGTTTAGCGACCACCTTCAGTTGGCGACCAGTTTACGGACTAAGTTCCTTTAAGTCAAGATAATAATATATCTACAAGTAAAAGTAAAGAAAAATAAATCTGATGCGTTTTTAAATAGTTATCAAATAAGGTTTTACAGTTTAAAGCAAATGATTTATAACAGGACTAAAAAAAATTGGCCATTACGTGAGACGATTTAGTGGTGTGGTTTATTGATAATTAATAAAATTTTAGTACTCAGTTCATGTTGTATAGGCAAGTTCTTTGTTAAATTAAAGCAATTGTTAAGTTTTTATAATTATTTAGTTATCCACTAGTAGGAAGCATTCACGTGTATATTTCAGTATCATATGTAATTGTGGCTATTGGCATCAGGGCGATAACTAAGGTGGGCACTGAAAATCAGTACAGAGGTGGCATCTATTTAACGCAGTGTACACTGTGAGTCCACCTAATTTCTGAAACACGGCATACAACCCTAAGCAACGTCAAAGGTTTTTTAGCGTAGGTAGGTTGATAAGTATTAGTTGGTAGGTAATAGTTATTATAAGTAACATTTTACAGAGGCGTGGTTGGATACATGGCACATTGACGTGTTATGTCAATTCTGTCAGGTATGAAAGATTGATTTATCAAATCTTACTTGATTTTAAGTTTCTTTGTGTATGTTGTTATTTAACTTATTTTTGTATGCTGTGCTATGAAATGAAATAAATAATATTCTATTCTATATTTTGCTATTTTTATACATAATATTTATAAAACTCGGTGGTCGGTAATTGTAGTGTCAATTTGTCAAAAACGTTGGATTGTTACTATGTGGTCATTGTAATTAGATATTTGTAATCAATATACAAAAACTTCTAAATAGAATTTTAGTATTTATTTTTATTTGTCAAGGCACAAAAAATCGATAAAATAAAGCATACATAAAAACAAGAGGCAATATTTAACAAATATACACCCTATCCTTACTATCTATGTGTGGTATACATTCTCATATGTGGGTAGGAGAACAAGACTTTGAATGCCACTAAGTACTGCTGCAATGGCTAACAGATGTTATCAAATATAGTTATAATAAACAACATATGTTTTTATAAATATGTGATTTCTGATACATACATGCATATTATTTAAAAATATATGTAAATTTTCTGGAATATAAATAATTTTTTTGTAACATTTTATTTTTACACTTGCAGTTACAGTACAGAAAATTACTATTTAGATTAATTCATGAACTTTTTGAAGTTATTATAACATAATTTAAAAAAATAATAGATCTTACTCATCCAAATTTTTATTGATATTATTCAATCTTGTTAACAAGCACTAAAATAAGGAACATACAACGTAACATTAAAATTATTATTTTTTGGCATTTTCATACAGTTAGGCACTTTTGCAGTCATATTTTTGTAAAATCAGGTAATGTGACAAGTTCAAACTTGATTGCTTACTTGAAATCATATAATTCAGACCCAAACTAGGGGGTCATGACTCCCATGAGCCATCCCTACATTTGCTATTGCTCTTTGGTATCTGTGGTTCTGCCTACCTTACTATTATGAAAGGGTTTCTCTTAGCAGTAAAATATTTTATTTATATTAAATGAAAGCAATGTCTTATTAAGTTGAACATAGTAGTTTTTATTTATTAAGAATTTGAAAATTGTGTTATTTACATGACTCTTGTGTCACAAAAGATAATAAATCTCATTGTAATGCAGTTCAAATACGAAATCACTTCTTAAATATCTCATTTTATGTTTTTTTTACGAATGATACAATTTAATTTCAATTGAACTCTCATTTTCCCTTAAAATTTCAAGTTTCAATTAAACCAGAACCAGAAAATAAATGAAAAAACATAGTCATTCTCAAAACATATAGACATATTATATGAAAAAAAAATAACAAGGCAATGAACATAGATATCGTCATTTTTACACTAAAATGACAAAAATATCTCTTTTGCAGCCAAGTGGTGTAGATTTTTTATCATCACCTGCATTGCGGGGCCCACGAAAGTTAAAGATCAACGAACAACCATCATCAACACGAATATCATGTTTAATAGACTTATGAGTTACCGTTCCTGACCTGTATAAAACATAAACAAATCGCAATGACGAATACAATAACACTATCGTTCTATAATTAGGAAAAATGCGTGTAATTCTTACATCGATATGGCGATGTTACGGCTTTCTAGCTCCGAGGATGTCATATTCACAGTCTATTTAATTCACTATTGTGTCAACCACTCGCCAGCTATCATTAACAGCTGTGTTTTTTGCTTTCATCATCCAAATAATGGACTTTTTTGCACAAAAATATTAAATTGATGCCACTAGCCGTATCTACACTGACAGTTGCTTACTGTGTTACTAGGAAATAAACTTGTACATCAACAGAACACAGAACTAATATAAGCAGATAATCTAACGAAGTGTTAATAAAAATTATTATTAGCATAATTATTATGCTCTTTGATTAAATCTGGTAAGCGATGATGATGATTCTATAAATAGGCAAAATAATTAAATATCACAAATATTTGTACCAATTTGAATCGGAATTTATATTAAAACCGTTTCTTTTAACAATCAAATGAAAATAAATTTTAATTGGGTTGCAGCAAATATAGAGAATTCATTTTTTATTCCTTATCTATAAAATTCTTGCTTAACTATAAAGTTCGTGTGGTGACAGATTAAGAATACAGAGTGTCACCAACCCTATTCATCCCGTGGGTGTCGGAAGAGCCGACTAAGGCAGCAAACTACGCAGTACTGCAAAGAGAAGGAAAACTTGCAACGAACCCTCTGCCAACCAGCGTGATATTGTAGGTGAAAAACCTCCTTTCTAAGGGGAGGATATTAAAGGCTGTTGATGTGTGATGATGATATGGTAGTAATAGTAAGATTATAGAGCACTTCCGAGATGATGTTCAAGGTGAACTGTGAAAAGTGTTTGTGTACGCATCTTTAAGAACCTTTGATAGGAAATAAACTAAGTAGACTGGATAGCGATGAAAGGAACTATGGACATTGGATAACGATTGGAGAGAAAGAAGTGCTCAGGAAGAGAAGGATTATTAATTTTGGATTGCAATAGGATGACGTAGACTTCGTGCCAGAGAGAGGGGCAAGTCCCGGAGTCGAGAGAGAAGTCAAGAATGTGAGCTATAAAGTTATAGCTCCATTGTGGATTACGTCCTCTACTTAGAGGACGAAATCCACAATGGTAACTAACATCCTACGGCTAACGTCATCACAACTCATTACATTAGAACGGACGGACATCTTTTTAGTGTCAGTCTTGGATAAAATTCAAAGTTGACAATAGGGTCCGATTTTTGGTTTGATGATCCGGTTAAGTCGCTAAAGAGAAATGAAAATGGATATCATTCAAAACAAGATAACCCAAGAAAATGGTGCAAACAAAAACGATTCGTCTGAAATAATTAATTTAAAATTAGTTACTGTTGATTTATTATTTGTTTGTTAATACAATGTACTATAATTTTTTTTTAATGTTAGAAGGAGCAAGCTAGCAGACGGGTCACCTGATGGAAAGTGACCATCGCCGCCCATGAACGTCTGCAACTCAAGAGTCACAAACGCGTTGCCAGCCTTTTAGGATGGAGTACGAACTTTTCTTGAAGGTTTAAAAGTCAAATCGGTTCGGAAATATTGTTTTCTTTCGTCATAATTAAAAAAATGTTTAGTGGAAAATGCAGCAATTCTTAGTTGAATGTGGTGGAGAGTTAATTTAACTGTTAGCAACACTGTTCACATGTCATTGTCATCAGTCAGTGTCGCGACACGATTGTCACTTAGAAAATTAGAAAAACATGTAACACGTGAGGTCAATTTTCATATTGCCGTAGTGATTTGTTTTATAAGTTGACTAAAAAAATGGCTGACGAGATTGCGTTTAAGAATAAGACACATCGCGCTAAACATGCCGGTCGTAAAGCCGAAAAGAAGAAGAATAAAAATAAAGTTGACCAATCTAACCTAACTGCTCGTCAGAGAAATCCCAAAGCCTTCGCTATACAGTCGGTCGTTAGAGCTGAAAGACAGTTCCGCCGAAAGGAAGATGTTATTGCCAAGAAGCAGCATATCCCCCAAGTGGACAAAACTCCTCTCGAACCGCCTCCAATTGTTGTCGCAATCGTCGGGCCCCCGCGCGTGGGAAAAACTACACTCATCAATAATCTTATTAAAAGCTTTATAAAGATAAATGTGACGAACACCAACGGTCCAATTACAATCGTGACATCGAAAAAAAGGCGCATCACTTTGATTGAATGTAATAATGACGTAAATTCAATGATAGACATAGCAAAGTGTGCTGATCTCGTGTTACTTCTGTGTGACGCAAGCTTTGGCTTTGAAATGGAGATATTTGAGTTCCTCAATATTTGCCAAGTGCATGGCATGCCAAAAATTATGGGGGTACTCACTCATTTAGATATGATAAAGAATGCTAAAACGTTGAAATCAACAAAGAAGACTTTGAAGCATAGATTTTGGACCGAGGTGTACTCCGGAGCCAAGTTGTTCTATCTCTCCGGCATCCTACATGGAGAATACTTAAGGAATGAAATAAAGAATCTGTCAAGATTTATTTCAGTAATGAAGTTCAGGAATTTAAGTTGGAGAACGACTCACTCTTATATACTGGCTGACAGATTAGAAGATGTAACTAGTCAGGAATTGATAAGAAGAGACCCAACGGTAAACAGAGATGTGGTGCTCTATGGTTATGTCAGAGGAGTTCCATTAATGAAAGAATCAATGGTTCATATTGCAGGTAGGTTTTTATTTATTTAATTTTTTTCAGATATTTTTTTGCCATCTCATCTCATCATCATTCACAAAACTTATCTGTATGCTCATTTTCTTGACATCAAGTATTATCTCAAATACACTTAGTAGGAATTCCTTTTACCCATATCTATATCCCCGTAGCAGTGGCTAGAGCTATAGGTGAAGATCATACAATCATTTGGTCTAACCCGGGCAGCAAAAGACTTAAATAAAATTGCCACTTTAGGAATCGTCAAGAAAGCTATGTAAAAAGCTAGGATAGGGATATTAGCAATAGATGAGCAGGTTAGACATTTATCAATGTTTAACATATACTTGTCATTTGACTCTTCATCATCCATACTAATATTTTAAATGCGAAAGTGTGTCTGTCGGTCTGTTACCTCTTCACGCTTAAACTGCTAAACCATTTTAGATGAAATTTCGTATATACTTTGAATCTTGGCAAGACATAGGCTAGTTTTACTGGGATAACGCGTTCAGAGCTGCGGGAAAACCTAGTACTATTATAATTTACTTATTTCTGTTCATGAGGTACCCTATATTCTTTTCGGTGCCCCAAATAATATGTTTGTAATATTTCATGACGGTTAGTTCAGTATTTGAGACATGAAAGCACAACAGACAAACTCACATTAACATTTATGATGTTACTACAGCTACAGGTAAATTAGCTTGGACAAATTTTTGCGTTTGTAGTAGTGTATGGACGCCGGACTGCATGTGGCACCTGCGGACAGCGTAAACTGGTTTTTTGCTGGACTGGACTGGAGTGGACGATTTTTTGCTCTAGATTGAAATATCTCGGAAACGGTGCGTCCTAGGCCAAAAATAACAAAAATGTTGACCCCCCGTAGACCCCCTGGAGTTTTAAAAACCTAGATGAAAGGAAAAAAAAAAAAAAATTAAATATCGGTCTCTCCTCTTTGAAGTTTCACTTCTATCGTGTGTGAATCGCACCACACCTTTTTTTTTTATAAAGTCAAAACCTTTTTCTTTAAAATAAAAACTTGTTTTTATTGAAAACAAAAATCAGAGTGTTGCTAGGGATAAGTATAAAATTAAATAGTAATGTTAGGATATCGAAACATTTTTGTATAGGCCAGAACGATATAGTGGAAACGCGCTCTAAGATCTGAGTAATATACACACCACTACATATGCAAAAATTTCTCAAGACTAATTTCACTGTAGGTTAATGTATTCTATTAGATCATGGACTGATAGGACAACTAATTATAAACCTCTTCTTTTCTAATATTGGTAAAAAGATCCTAAAGTCATTAATTTATCATATTAGCATTACCACCAACAGTATAAGAAAACCAAAAGTTATGTTTTTATGTCACACTGGATGGTATCTAGATATCTTGTAAATAAAATTACTTCTTGATTTCACCAGTTGTATAGTATTGTCAGCCCATTACAGACAAGTACAGTTTATTAGACTTCACTGTATTACAGACATAAACAGTGATTGATGTGTAGCCATAGTGCAATCCATCTTAGTGTTAAATCTACTAAATATAATATATCCCTCCGTCCACTAGGACACCCTAGTTAAATCCTCTGAGGGATTTATTTGGATATTTTGTCCATTTTGATCCTCAAGTGGATTCATTTGGAAGTTTTTGTGAACACAAATCCCCTATATATTCTTAAATTCAAATTTAAATATGTCTTAATGGAGTTTAAAAAAAAAATTTGAGTTGTGTGGGAATATTGTGATGTAAAATGTATTGTATGTGTGTAAGGTCCGTGTGGTGACGGATTAAGAATACAGAGTGTCACCACCCCTATTCATCCCGTGGGTGTCGTAAGAACCAACTAAGGGAAAAAAATTATGCAAAACAACAGCACTGCAGAGAGAAGGAAAACTTGATACAAACCCTAAACCAACCCGTCTGGCCAGTGTGGTATAGTAGGCCAAAACCTCCTTTCTAAAGAGAGGCTTATGTCCAGCAGTGAACTATTAAAGGCTGTTGATGTGCAAATGTATTGATAGACATAGGATTAGGTACGAACTTATGCATGAACTAGCTGAGACCCGCGGTGTTACCCGCGTTTGTTGTTATAACCGCGGGCAACGCCGCGGGGCGAAGCTAGTCCGAAAAAAGTAGCCTAAGTTACTCCTTATGTCATCAGCTATCTGCCAATGAAAGTCCCGTCGAAATCGGTCCAGCCGTTCCAGAGATTACCCGGAACAAACAGACAGACAGACAGACAAAAATTGTAAAAAATGTTATTTTGGCATATGTACCGTGTAAACATACATATGCATTTAGTAAAAAGCGGTTATTTTAATATTACAAACAGACACTCTAATTTTATTTATTTGTATAGATATCGAAACATCGAATTTTATTTTATGTGAAAAATAATTTTTAACACTGTTTTTAATAAAACAACGTGTATTAAGCTATGTGCGGACATACCTCTGTTTCTGCAAATCGATTCTTATATAGAGATAGCTAATTACCTCTATTCCGTTGAATTCAACTCAAATTTCAACTATTTTTACTACTGAAAAAATATCATGTCACACTTAATAAAAAAAAATCTGCTAACAGAAATCCAAATAAATCGCACAGGGGATTCTAGCGGATGTTGTGTTTACAAAAACTTCCAAAGAAAATCTCTTGGGGATCAAAATGGATAAAAATTACAAACTGACCCCCTAGGGAAATGGTGTGGACAAATAATTCAAATTAATCCCCCAGGAGAGGGGGCGAAGTAATAAGTCCCCTAGTGGACGGAGGCACATATATTCTTTAGTGATGTTACAACATTTTTCTGTATTTCAGGTGTAGGCGATATGAAAATCAATGAGCTGTCCTACCTTCCGGACCCATGCCCACTTCCCTGCAGTGAGAAGAAACGTCATCTATTAGAGCGAGAACGACAAATATATGCTCCATTTGCAGGTGTTGGTGGTATGGTTTATGATAAAGATGCTGTTTACATTGAGTTACAAGGCTCTCACTCACATAAAAAACAAGATGAAGAGACAAATGAAAACAAAGTGTATTTAAAAAAGATTGTGGAAACAAAAGAAAATTTGGACGAACTAAGGCAGGAGGCAACGTTTCAATTGTTCAGTGGAGGTCCTGTCATGTACCCAGATATGGTTAAGGATGATGAATATTTGCAACATAATAAGGAAGTTAATTCTGATGATGAATCCGAATCAGATGAAAGTGTGTCTGAAAATGATAGTGGTATAGATCAAAATGAATCAGGAGACAGGAAGAAAGTACCATGGGAGAATAACACTGTCAATGGTTCAGGTGAAGAAGACAATGATGTAAGTTCTAATGACGATGAAACAGCCGATAAGGATGAAGTGGGAGTAAAATCGGATGACGAAGATTCTTCAGATTCAGACATTGAAAATAAAGAAGTACGAACAGAGAATTTGGACAAAAAATGGAATGAAAAATTACGTGAAAAAGCGATAGAAGCTTATCTAGAGAGACAGAAAAGTTCAAAAAATATTATGAAACTTGTGTACGGCGATTATGAAATTGGAAATAAGACTAAGAACAAGGAACAAGAGATATCTGATGAAGAAGATGAAGTTGATGGGTTATTTAAAAAGGTCACCAAGACACAAAAGAAGAAACACCAAGAAAAGGAAATGCTGGATGTAGATGAATGTTCATTTTTCTATGCTTTAGATAAACCTTATTTAAAAGATTGGACCAGCGAAGCAAACAAACAGTATTTGATCAATAATTTTGTTACTGGCAAAAGATCAGCTGATGAAGATGCAGATGAACTTTTGAAGTTAGATGACGCCAGCGATGGCGAAGATGAGGAACTGTTTGGCGATTTCGAAGATTTGGAGACAGGAGAAAAACATACAGTTGAAGGAACGGAAACTGGCACAAAGAGAAAAGCTGAACCAACAAAATCAGACATACTGGATAAAAAAATGAAATTAAAGGCCAAGTTTGATGCTGAATATGATAATCCCGATGACCATAGAATCAAAGGAGACCATTCATACTATGAGAGCCTGAAAGCAGAAGCGTTAAAACAATCCGAACTTAATAAATCGGTCTTTGAAAACTTAGACAATGGCTTGAGAGTTGAAGTTGAAGGCTTCAGACCAGGCTTGTATGTGAGAATGTCATTCAAACACATGCCTGCAGAATTTATTACCAATTTTGACAGTACTTATCCAATCCTGATAGGCGCCCTTAACATGGCCGAACAAAATATTGGTTTTGTATCCTGCAAAGTTAAAAAGCACAGGTGGTACAAAAAGATACTCAAGACAAACGATCCTCTGATTATATCATTGGGTTGGCGTCGCTTCCAAACCATACCTATTTACTCCAAAATAGAGGATGATTTAAAATGCAGGTATTTGAAGTATACTCCAGAACATGTAACCTGTAACATGCATTTCTATGGGCCCATTACACCACAGAACACAGGCTTCTTAGCTTTACAAAGTGTTAATAACAACTTAAATGATATTAAACAAGCAGGTTTTAGAATAGCTGCAACTGGCAGTGTGAACGAAATCAACAAATCAACTCAGATAGTTAAAAAACTCAAACTAGTTGGTACTCCGCTAAAAATATACAAAAAAACAGCATTTATAAAGGATATGTTTACAACTACCCTTGAAGTTGCAAAGTTTGAAGGGGCTAGGATTAAAACGGTATCTGGGATAAGAGGGCAGATCAAGAAAGCGTTAAACAAACCCGAAGGTGCGTTCAGGGCTACATTTGAAGATAAAATATTGATGAGTGATATAGTCTTCTGTAGGACTTGGTTTAAAGTGGACGTCACTAAATTCTATGCACCTGTAGTAAATTTATTGCTTCCTGTTGGAGCTAAAAACGCTTGGCAGGGCATGAAGACTAAAGGACAATTGAAGAGGGAAAAGAATATTAAAAATGAAGCCAACACAGACGCAATGTACACCGAAATCAAACGCGCTCCAAAAGTCTTCAAACCTCTAGTCATACCTAAGAATTTACAGAAGGGCTTGCCATACAGATTTAAACCCAAAGAAAAATCGACCACACTCTCTGGTGTTAATCCAAAGGATAAGTTCCAAAACAGGATAGCGGTTATCAAGAATCCATATGAACAAAAAGTGACAAATGTGATGAAGATGTTAAAAACTAATTATGAAAAGAAGAAAGAAGTGCAGAAGGAGGCGACAGCGCTTAGGCTGCAAAAGCACAAAAAGCAACAAGAAGAAGAAGAGTGGAGAAAGCTAAAAAGACAAAAAGAGTTAAAGAAGAAAATTTGTAGACATTTAAGTAAAATGGGTAATAAAAAGAAACCACAAATGTAAATTTTGTTTCATTGATGTTACTTCTGTTTGGTCAGTTGACGACTTTTCTAGAGGCCTTTTTTCTCCATAGGCACAGTACAGACAGGGTGCGCGGCCCCGCCATTTTGACGCTGCAGTGTCCGTCCTATTTTCACATTCGAGACTCGGTATCCTTTACTCTATCCAGCTCCCTCGCACTTACCGTTTTCCTCCCTTTAATTTGTATTCTATCTCTAGCTCATCCATCTGGAAACGATTTACGTTCTCATAGTTGGCGAGCAGCCGACTGTAAACGGAACCAGCCGAACAGTTTTTGCAACGTTATCGATTTATCGGTATTTATTTTAGTTTTGTAGTAAGAATAATAATATTTTTGGAAATCTAACACAACGCCATCTAGTTTCAAACTAAGTAGAGCTTGTACTATGAAAGCTAGATTGACTGATTCAGTAACTAAACACTTTTTTTTAGTAAATACATACACATTACACAAAGACAACACCCAATCTCCGAAACAAATATTTTCAGATCATACAAACATTTGGTCTGACCCGGGAATCAAACCCGAAACTTCTGAACCGATGCTTCTACACGGTGCAGGTAGCTGGAGCGGGCAGACGCAGGTTATTTGCGTGAGTAGCGTGAACAAGTTACTTGAACGTTTGGTTGATAAAATGTGCATGCTGCTCGCGCTGGTACATGCTCGAGTCGCTGGACCCGCGAATTAGTCCTTTTCGCGAAGCAAATAACCTGCTCAAGTGCACACAAGCTACTTTCATCGTGTAGAAGTACCCTAATATTCCATTTTAGCTGGATTTAAAACTAAACGACTCATATGTGAAATCGTCTAAGTCAATAAACAAATTCTCCTCGTATTCATCATTGTTTACAGACAGGCGTCTGTAAACCTTGGAGCTGTCTATCTTAATGCTTTATTATAAGAATTTAGTACAAGGAGCTTGTATCAATATCAACTTTCCCTATACATATATGGATCGCCTTCAGGTGGGGCAGAATGGATATTAACCCTTCGCTATATTCCCGGTAGCCACCTCTAGCACGGTTCTCCATGTTCACAACGGGGAATTTTCTTCTTAGTTCACTGTTCACTTCCGATACGTGCCAGAGGGGACAAGTGGTAGCTTTTATCTTCCAGTGTCACCCGACACATTTAAATTAAGGGTCCTCCGACGGGACGTGATCATGTCTGGCAGACCGCGCTTCACATCAAGCGAGGAGGAATTGGTTTCAAAGGAAATAGAAATAAAACAATAGAGTGTATCGTGTAAATTGTATTTACCTCTTACCAGTTGCATAACGTTATGCCGTTACCATATTTGATAAACGTTTTTACAAAGATTACACATTAGTACAGATTACATTGGTCAAAATAAACATCGTCCAGTAACAATTTCGTTATGATATCAGTGCGTTGGCCGACAGAATCACAAGTTAGGATATATCGCGATTAGTCGAGGGCCAAAGCGATCATTATAACACGGAAAGCCTGGAATGTAAACGTGTCCAGTAACGCCACGTAGCCACGTCTCGTTACATACTCCCTCCATAACAAGCTATGCACACACAGGCCAAATTATATACATATCCACTTTTTTTCTAATAAACATATTTTACATTTAATTTCTTATCGTGAAGGTAACTATATTCTTTGGTAGCGCGAGCCACTGGGACTAAAAACCTCGGAAAAATATTTCTTTATTTGTTCGATACGGGTGTCTGGAATGTGTTCAATTATTGTAATTATTGTTCGGTCGCGTCCGTTCGCAAACTGTCGGGGTACATTGGCACTTGTGGAGGTAACACACGTAACTGATCAACTACGTACACAATAGACGAGCAACGGATAGCTTCTGTGTACATACAGCGTTATTGAGCAGTCGCGTGTTCGATAACACCGAGTACCGATTTGTAGCGTCATTATCGTAACATACTAAGTTACATATCTGTGTATCGTTATTTAAATGTTTCCTTTTCGTTATAATATGTAATACACCCTTATTTGTTCACGTTACAAACCTGTACACATAAGGAATCGGACGATTGACGTTATCTACGCTATTAGTGGGGAACATACAAAAGTATAGATAAACACGAGACCGCACAGCGGCCATGAAACTTCGGCTACACTACTTTCATCCAAACTTTTTATAAAAACTCGTTTAGCTACGTCAAAAAGCTATAAATACACTAACAGTTAACTAATAACATTCTGAACCGTGCTCTCTCTGTGTTTCACTCTCTACTTTGAACAAGTCACGTACACGACAAAGTACTTAAGTGTTTCTCCAGATATTAGATATACCAAGGACTTATTGTTGTAAGTTCAATGTTGAAGGCGAAACGCATGCTTATAACACAGCTATTTACTTGCATTGTATACAATTTCGTGGTTAAATATAGTTTTTTTGATTTCATAATGATAGTATGATGTGTACGTATGATATAGAGTCAGGCTTTAATGACGAAACGTCAGATAGGCATCGAGAGAGTGACAAAATATTGGGGAACAATTGCGACCATTTTTAAGCGGTTTATTATCAACTTTAATAATTAACCGCTTTACTGTTTTGTCATACTCATATTGCTTGGTGAGATAAATCTAAATTTATGTCAAGCTAAATAGGCCTTTACTAAGTTCGTATATAAATAATACTGCAGAAATTCCACATCTTTGAAAGTCATAAAAAACAATTATTATTTTGTACTCTCCCGCATCACCTCATTAACCTAACGAGAATCTGCCACGCGTTGACTAGCCGCCGCATTAACTAATTGTAAGTTATAGCACAATGTATGACAACCAACCGTGTAGCACTCAAATATCACCCATAACGTTATTAATAACGTTACTTGTAGTAACGTTATTAATGACATTACAAGAACACAAAAACACACACTCCGGGCCAGAAACACTCCAAAATTTCCATAGGGCGAGTCAATATTACTAATATTAAGAAATTTCGTTCTGATCAATGGCAGAATTCCTTAATGATTATGTAGAATATAAGTTTTGTTCACGTGACATGACGTTAGATTCGATACGCCCGCGACCTTACCACGAGTAGTTTCCAAAATTTCCAAATTTATCTACTATTAAAATTAATTAATTTTATAAAAATCACACCGGTGGCGCCCTCTTCACCTATGTTTATTAATACTGTTACGATAACTATACAATAGATTAGCAGAGGCCTCCTAAGGACCGCGATACCTTCATGCTCCGTTTAATTATTGTGATACGTGACAACCGTAGCTACACCATTGTTGAGGTAATATTTATAATAAACCGGCATTTAATACATTCCCTATAATAACTTAATAAATAATAAAATCTAATAAAATAAATAAGCAGTAATCGTTATAAAGTAATAATACAATAAAAATCCTTCAAGTTTTGAACACATCTTAGCTAAATATTGCTATTAGACCTAATGTCGATACAAATTATATATTTACAATATATTTGCTACAGATTAAAAGATTCACCTTTGAACTAAAAAAACTGTTTTAGCTATACATTTCATTAAGTTTATTTCATTATCTATTGTACTGTTCGTGTGGTGTACGACTGCCAACTGTCACTAACAAAGTTTTCTGGCACTACCACTTTAGAAATAAAAAAGAAATGTTTTGCTGTGAGCGTGGTAAACGTGCCAATTATATGTAATGTCAAGTCTACAGCTGTACATCACGCGATAACAAAACCCAACTACAACAGTTAAGTTCTCACGCGCGACACCCCTAACGACTCAACAATGGAACAACCATCTTGTACCACTAAGCAGTACAGGGTTGCCGCACATCGGAAATATTTGTAAATCGCTTAACAAAAATATACCTAGCTAAGTTTCCAGCTGATCTAGTAGCGAGTTAATAAAATAGAAGATTACAAAACAATGTAATTAACACTGTACATAAGACTAGTATGGTGCGCTCGTTCCGATCGCTTTCGGCAACTTAAACTTGTACTACAGTCAGTTTGTCGGTCGACGGAGAGCCACACATTCATCTACATAAAGCTATGTATATATACACACCTCGGCGAGGCACTTGGTAGACAGGTTAACACTCGCGCACACTGTGCCACATATCATCCAACTTTTACATGAAAAATCTAACAGCATATACAGACATTTATACAGTCTTTCTATATACGCAATCTTTAAACGAATAGTGAACAATGACGTCACGGATCGTGCAACAAATTATCCAATGTAATTAAAGTAAAATTTATACAGGATATTTAAATCTATTAAAAAACTTATCAGTCGTTTAACAATTAACCTAACTATAAGATTTTTTTTCATGAAATTGATTTTTTCTCAATCAAGGTTAATTTTTGTGATGTCATTATTCCTAATTCGCAGTATTTATATTTTTAAGATAGCTTTATAAACATGTTGTATATATATGACACAGTAAGCGACACATTATGTATTCCAACTATGACACGCTTATTAAACAAGTACAGGAGCTGTGTTGACACAGCGAGTTGAAACACACTGACCGGTGACAACATTTACTCAACGAAAATAACTGTGAATCTTAAAACTATAGATACACATTTTTTTTTTCTTAAAACTTGGCAAAGAAGGACATGACAGTAACGTTACTTGAACAGTTTATTGGATATCACATATCATAGGAAAAACATATAGCGTGCTAAGTTATCGTTCTCGTTTTTTAACCGTTATTACATAGCACTCTATGCACTCCTACTCGCAATAACCGTTATTAGCATGCTATTTTAACCTAAAATAGCAGATACATGATAAACTTCTTTTTGAAGGCAAACTGGTGATAATTAATTCATCTACAGTTATTTCCGTTGAGTCAAAAATAATTGTCAATACTAATTACATAGTAATCTGTCACAACACAGAAACTTTAGTCGACCGCACACCCTGCGCTAAATATACCTTATACATACATAACATAAGGTCGTATTTAGAAACACAAACTCAAAATTATTGTGATGTACGTTAAATTAGGGTTGTCACTGTTATATAGAAAGTAACATTTTTCTAAGGTGAGTAACTAGCGATCTACTGAAATATATAAGGAATTAGTAAATACTGCAGATATACAAAATTTACACCTAATGTAACGGCTAAATCATCGACTTTCCTATGAAAGTGTGGAGTTGACTTATTATTATTAAGCCTTATTTATGGGGAAGGGGATCTCTCACATTTTATTTATTTAGCATTTAGTTTCATTGTGCCCTATAAACTATTTGGACAACCCTATCACAATAACCCTGAACTTATAGATATTCTAAGTGATTTTAAATCAAGTTTTGTTAGTTGGCTTTCTGTTATTATAATAGTGGACAATTATCGCAGAATATACGATCGACGCGACAAATGTATATTAGTTAAGTACAATATAACTAATATTTGGCATCAGAGTACGACAATTCCTTGCTTGTACCGTGTTTTTTTTACATACGAATATTAGAAAACCTGAGAACTGTAGATATTAATAATTCTGTAAAATAATATTTTTCTGATAGAGAAAGAGATACAAAGAAAGAGTATGACATTATTCTTTTTTTAAATGATTTCATTGATTATAGTAAAAATATACTTTCCTGGATATGATTAAAAGTAATGCATAATATATTAACTATCTAAATTTGTAGCTAAAAAAATATTACTAATATATATATATAGAAAATATTTCTGTTACATACAACGATATGTTTACTTAAAGTCGAGGGACACCATTAGCAGGGAGTTTCATAGCAATTAATTCTCGTGTTGTTCCTTTTTTTTAATATATAATTTAACATAAAAAAAAGCGGGTACAGAAATTAATATTTATGAATTTATTTTAATATGCATGTTTTAAATTAAATAATTAACATAAATATAAATAAATAAATAAATATTCCCGACTTCATGTCTTAAGATGACTAGTGGTAGCCACAGTCATTCTAATTACGACCCCCCCCCCCCCCCCGCGACACAGGATATATTTCTAATGCGGGCGTTGTCTTTTTTTTTTAAAAAAAAAAATTACTAACACGAGGCCATGGGTATCTCGGCAGCCAATTGCAGTCGCACTATAAAACGACTATTAAATACACCGAGAATAATATCAGTATGAGAGCAATAAGAGAAATAGTAGAATTAAAAGGAATTAAAGAAAAAAAAAATAGGTGAGTGTTTAGTACTAGACAAAAACTGCAGATTGTGAGTAAAAAATAAAAATATAACAGAATAAAATCACCTTCATAAATCAATCAAACTTTGGAATCTTTCATAGGTTTATTCATATTAATTAAAATATAATATGGGTTTAACTTGAATATATTTCGGTCCCTTTTCAAGAAGAAAAGCTTCTTGTCTTGACGGTGTCAAGTGTGTGACGCTGGACACCCTAGCGGTAGGAGGCGTTACTTTTTGTCAGGCATCCTCGAAATATACGCGCAAATAAAACTCTCATTTAGGGATTTACCTATCTATACTTAATATTATAAAGCTGAAGAGTTTGTTTGTTTGTTTGTTTGTTTGTTTGAACGCGCTAATCTCAGGAACTACTGGTCCGATTTGAAAAATTCTTTCAGTGTTAGATAGCCCATTTATCGAGGAAGGCTATAGGCTATATATCATCACGCTAAGACCAATAGGAGCGGAGCACCAATGAAGAATGTTTCAAAAATGGAGAAAATACTATTGAGAGACGCAGACGAAGTTGCGCGGGTCAGCTAGTATATTATAAAATTACTTGCCCTGACTGACTGACTGACTAATTCATCAAAGCAGAGCCTAAACCACTGGGTCTACAATCTTGAAATTTTGGTAACCGATGCTTAAAATGTTGTAAGCACCCACTAACTATTGATTTTTGTAAATAAGGACTGAACAGTTGTATGGGAGTTTGTCATTTTCGAAGTTAAAAATACAAAAAAAGGAATAATTGAAACAATAGCTAGTAAATTAAATTAATGACCTGCCAGGCATGATCACTTCGTCTGGTCAGAGGATCCTCCCTTTGTGTTGGAGGGACATGACACCAAACAGACACAAACCTGTCTGCCCAGCGTGGGCCAAAACCTCCTTTCTAAGGAAAGGCCTATGTCCAGCAGTGGACTATTAAAGGCTGTTGATGTGTGATGATGATGTGTAAATTAGTGGTGGAACACGTGACAAATAGTAGAAAACACGGTACAGCAAGCAACAGCGAGTTGGAGTCGACAGTTAACAACGATCTGGTTACATTTAAGTACATATACACTAACTATCAGAGCACTTTGTATTATATTAGATTGAAGCCTTATCCTAAAACTGTATTATACATGTGGTATATGATTATTGTGTCTTCAATTTCTTATATGTTTATTTATGTACGAGCTCGGTGGTGTTTCATGGTTACATTTATGTGCTAGGATAGGTAAAAATCATATTTACAATGTGTAAGGGTCGGTATAACGAATGCTGAAATAATGTATCCAGACCATTATTCTGAGTTTTCGAGAATTTTCTGAAGGCAAATTAAACGTTTTATGCAATCAGGTGTCAAACATTAAGGTCATTCCCCGTAGGTATCGCACAAAAGTAATAACTACATTTGTATTCTGTGTAAATAGTCTACGCACACTAACACAAGTTATCGGCCGGGGGAAGGCCCCGCGCGCTGTGGTTTTTTGATTGATTACATTGTTTTTCACCGTATGTGATATTTATTAAAAAGTCGATAAAATGTTCTGTTTACTCATTGTAAAATCATTTTAATAAAAAAAAAAGTTAAAAAAAAGATGAATTTGCCAGCAGAAAATTCCAATGATTTTTGACTCAGAATGATAGTCTGAATTAATTATTTCAGTATTCGTTATACCGTCCCTTACACCCTGTATATAAATATATCCAATTATTTTATTTTATTAAAACACTTTTGTAAGTGGTATTTATATTTAATCAAGATATATGGTTTTACTTACATGTGTATTTATGCGACTAGTTTCGGATTCGATAGAGTTATCAATGGGTAAGGCGATCTTTTAAGTCGGTGTTAGGAAGGTGGCTAGTAAAACCGCGTATTTTCAATAAATATCAATAATTTTAGTAAAAAGTAAAAGTTTAAAATATTATTAATTAAATATGAAATTTTGATCACTCGACCTCACATCACAACCGGTGTGAATATTAATTTTATTGACTATTTTGAATTGAAAAAAGGTTACAATTGAATTATAATATTGTTTAAATCATACATTTTATCAGAATATCCAAGAATTTAAAATATACGACATAATATGATATATTTTCAATCAGAGGAGGCACTATACACCAAGTGTAGCGAAGTGACTTTTAAATAGAAAGAATTGATGAGGAAAGAGATGAGGAGTGTACACTGTGTGTGTATGGAGCTGACAAGGAACTGACATAGTTCGTTTCCCCTTAACTAAACAACTGATAATCATTATACATTTTGTCAAGAGTACAGAAAAAGGCATCATTTATCCAAAAAATAAGAACTGCTCCCGAGGGTCAACTGAATTAAGCGAAGCCACAGCCAAGTTTAGTATTACATATAGCTGTATTAGTATGTAAATATTTCACCATGAAACACCACCATAAATAGTCACTTAACTCCATTACATTGAAACCAGCGTCCTACGAGATTCCACCACGGACAACTAAGTTTATTTGTTATAAAAAAAATATTTGTACCATAAATAATAGTTAACTTAACGTACATGACTAAAGTTCACGGTGACCGGCCGAATCGCTGGTTTCCGGTGTATCCGAAAGCCTCATGCCCGGAGCCCTGGCGGAGCGACCTCCAGAGGAGGGAGTCGCTAGAGGCAATAGGGGGCGGAGGCCTAGTTCATGGTGTGGTGTCAGGAGGCCGCGTGCTCGTGCTGTAAGCGGGCCGTACGTTCGGTGCCCGTCGCTAAAAGGTTACTGAATTCCATTTCCAGGATTTGTCGCGCCTGAAAAATTAAAAGATACGTTGTTAGCACATTAACACGTTAAGGTATGTAGGTAGAGTACAACACTATCAGTTGATTTATAGTCTTTAATCCAGTAATTCCGGGAAAGACTAGTCCTAGATTGGATATTTCTCCTTCCTATGATTATCATTAAGCAGAGAATATGATTAAAAATATCTCCTTTTGTTGCAATTCTCAAATTTACTTTAATGGTATTCATAAGAGAAATCTCAGCGTTCCCCGTTCTTCCCGTTTGATTAATACCAATAATTTTTAAGAAAATAACTAAGGAAGAAGGCGAATTGTACTATCCGTGACAATCAAAAAATTCCAAGTACTAAAAAAAACGTCGCTCTCTCTACCTAACCTCATTATTTTATTCAATACGAAGTTTTGTTATTGAGAACAATAGTTTGGATTGCTTTGGCTAGATGGCGTTGAAGCGTGGTTTGTAAATGCCGCTATACATGTGTGGCTATTACCTGTGTGTTCTGTGTGGGTATCTGCAAGGCCAGCGCCATGCTGTTGGCGTCGAAGTTGTCGTCCAGGGAGATAAGGGCCCCGTGGACGCCACTCTCTGATAAGTTGCCTGCGTACTCCTGCAAGACAAGTGTTGAGGGTATTGTAGAACACATCTATAGGCCTTTAATATTGAGGATGACGACAAGAGGAACGAAAACTTTAATAATAGGAAAAACTTTTAAACAACTGTAAAACTCTACCATGCAATCATTTTGATTTTGTTAAGCAAAATAAAATTGTATGTTTAATTTTAGATTTAATATTTTATTATTTATCATTGTTCTGTCTGAGGCGATTACATACGCAAGGAAGATAAGCGGTCACACAAGAAATCAACTAAAACTTTACACATTGCGCCCACCCTGAATATTAGAAATTTCTAAAACTGGAAAATATAGCTTGGTTTTAATTATATAACTGGGGCTAAACGGGGAGGCTATCACTTGGGGTTGAGGCGCCACTCGTTAAACTAACTCTAGCTAGTGTTAGTAGCTAGGCAAGTGTCAGGGTGGGGGTGGGGTGTACCTTGAGGTTGATGGAGACGAGCCAGCGCTGCAGGCGCTCGTTGGTCCACACGAGCACGTCGCGGTTGGCGAGCTCGGCGGAGCGGCGCCGCTCGACTCAGCTAGGCGAGTGTCAGGGTGGGGGTGGGGTGTACCTTGAGGTTGATGGAGACGAGCCAGCGCTGCAGGCGCTCGTTGGTCCACACGAGCACGTCGCGGTTGGCGAGCTCGGCGGAGCGGCGCCGCTCGACTCAGCTAGGCGAGTGTCAGGGTGGGGGTGGGGTGTACCTTGAGGTTGATGGAGACGAGCCAGCGCTGCAGGCGCTCGTTGGTCCACACGAGCACGTCGCGGTTGGCGAGCTCGGCGGAGCGGCGCCGCTCGACTCAGCTAGGCGAGTGTCAGGGTGGGGGTGGGGTGTACCTTGAGGTTGATGGAGACGAGCCAGCGCTGCAGGCGCTCGTTGGTCCACACGAGCACGTCGCGGTTGGCGAGCTCGGCGGAGCGGCGCCGCTCGACTCAGCTAGGCGAGTGTCAGGGTGGGGGTGGGGTGTACCTTGAGGTTGATGGAGACGAGCCAGCGCTGCAGGCGCTCGTTGGTCCACACGAGCACGTCGCGGTTGGCGAGCTCGGCGGAGCGGCGCCGCTCGACTCAGCTAGGCGAGTGTCAGGGTGGGGGTGGGGTGTACCTTGAGGTTGATGGAGACGAGCCAGCGCTGCAGGCGCTCGTTGGTCCACACGAGCACGTCGCGGTTGGCGAGCTCGGCGGAGCGGCGCCGCTCGACTCAGCTAGGCGAGTGTCAGGGTGGGGGTGGGGTGTACCTTGAGGTTGATGGAGACGAGCCAGCGCTGCAGGCGCTCGTTGGTCCACACGAGCACGTCGCGGTTGGCGAGCTCGGCGGAGCGGCGCCGCTCGACTCAGCTAGGCGAGTGTCAGGGTGGGGGTGGGGTGTACCTTGAGGTTGATGGAGACGAGCCAGCGCTGCAGGCGCTCGTTGGTCCACACGAGCACGTCGCGGTTGGCGAGCTCGGCGGAGCGGCGCCGCTCGACTCAGCTAGGCGAGTGTCAGGGTGGGGGTGGGGTGTACCTTGAGGTTGATGGAGACGAGCCAGCGCTGCAGGCGCTCGTTGGTCCACACGAGCACGTCGCGGTTGGCGAGCTCGGCGGAGCGGCGCCGCTCGACTCAGCTAGGCGAGTGTCAGGGTGGGGGTGGGGTGTACCTTGAGGTTGATGGAGACGAGCCAGCGCTGCAGGCGCTCGTTGGTCCACACGAGCACGTCGCGGTTGGCGAGCTCGGCGGAGCGGCGCCGCTCGACTCAGCTAGGCGAGTGTCAGGGTGGGGGTGGGGTGTACCTTGAGGTTGATGGAGACGAGCCAGCGCTGCAGGCGCTCGTTGGTCCACACGAGCACGTCGCGGTTGGCGAGCTCGGCGGAGCGGCGCCGCTCGACTCAGCTAGGCGAGTGTCAGGGTGGGGGTGGGGTGTACCTTGAGGTTGATGGAGACGAGCCAGCGCTGCAGGCGCTCGTTGGTCCACACGAGCACGTCGCGGTTGGCGAGCTCGGCGGAGCGGCGCCGCTCGACTCAGCTAGGCGAGTGTCAGGGTGGGGGTGGGGTGTACCTTGAGGTTGATGGAGACGAGCCAGCGCTGCAGGCGCTCGTTGGTCCACACGAGCACGTCGCGGTTGGCGAGCTCGGCGGAGCGGCGCCGCTCGACTCAGCTAGGCGAGTGTCAGGGGGGGGGTGGGGTGTACCTTGAGGTTGATGGAGACGAGCCAGCGCTGCAGGCGCTCGTTGGTCCACACGAGCACGTCGCGGTTGGCGAGCTCGGCGGAGCGGCGCCGCTCGACTCAGCTAGGCGAGTGTCAGGGTGGGGGTGGGGTGTACCTTGAGGTTGATGGAGACGAGCCAGCGCTGCAGGCGCTCGTTGGTCCACACGAGCACGTCGCGGTTGGCGAGCTCGGCGGAGCGGCGCCGCTCGACTCAGCTAGGCGAGTGTCAGGGTGGGGGTGGGGTGTACCTTGAGGTTGATGGAGACGAGCCAGCGCTGCAGGCGCTCGTTGGTCCACACGAGCACGTCGCGGTTGGCGAGCTCGGCGGAGCGGCGCCGCTCGACTCAGCTAGGCGAGTGTCAGGGTGGGGGTGGGGTGTACCTTGAGGTTGATGGAGACGAGCCAGCGCTGCAGGCGCTCGTTGGTCCACACGAGCACGTCGCGGTTGGCGAGCTCGGCGGAGCGGCGCCGCTCGACTCAGCTAGGCGAGTGTCAGGGTGGGGGTGGGGTGTACCTTGAGGTTGATGGAGACGAGCCAGCGCTGCAGGCGCTCGTTGGTCCACACGAGCACGTCGCGGTTGGCGAGCTCGGCGGAGCGGCGCCGCTCGACTCAGCTAGGCGAGTGTCAGGGTGGGGGTGGGGTGTACCTTGAGGTTGATGGAGACGAGCCAGCGCTGCAGGCGCTCGTTGGTCCACACGAGCACGTCGCGGTTGGCGAGCTCGGCGGAGCGGCGCCGCTCGACTCAGCTAGGCGAGTGTCAGGGTGGGGGTGGGGTGTACCTTGAGGTTGATGGAGACGAGCCAGCGCTGCAGGCGCTCGTTGGTCCACACGAGCACGTCGCGGTTGGCGAGCTCGGCGGAGCGGCGCCGCTCGACTCAGCTAGGCGAGTGTCAGGGTGGGGGTGGGGTGTACCTTGAGGTTGATGGAGACGAGCCAGCGCTGCAGGCGCTCGTTGGTCCACACGAGCACGTCGCGGTTGGCGAGCTCGGCGGAGCGGCGCCGCTCGACTCAGCTAGGCGAGTGTCAGGGTGGGGGTGGGGTGTACCTTGAGGTTGATGGAGACGAGCCAGCGCTGCAGGCGCTCGTTGGTCCACACGAGCACGTCGCGGTTGGCGAGCTCGGCGGAGCGGCGCCGCTCGACTCAGCTAGGCGAGTGTCAGGGTGGGGGTGGGGTGTACCTTGAGGTTGATGGAGACGAGCCAGCGCTGCAGGCGCTCGTTGGTCCACACGAGCACGTCGCGGTTGGCGAGCTCGGCGGAGCGGCGCCGCTCGACTCAGCTAGGCGAGTGTCAGGGTGGGGGTGGGGTGTACCTTGAGGTTGATGGAGACGAGCCAGCGCTGCAGGCGCTCGTTGGTCCACACGAGCACGTCGCGGTTGGCGAGCTCGGCGGAGCGGCGCCGCTCGACTCAGCTAGGCGAGTGTCAGGGTGGGGGTGGGGTGTACCTTGAGGTTGATGGAGACGAGCCAGCGCTGCAGGCGCTCGTTGGTCCACACGAGCACGTCGCGGTTGGCGAGCTCGGCGGAGCGGCGCCGCTCGACTCAGCTAGGCGAGTGTCAGGGTGGGGGTGGGGTGTACCTTGAGGTTGATGGAGACGAGCCAGCGCTGCAGGCGCTCGTTGGTCCACACGAGCACGTCGCGGTTGGCGAGCTCGGCGGAGCGGCGCCGCTCGACTCAGCTAGGCGAGTGTCAGGGTGGGGGGTGGGGTGTACCTTGAGGTTGATGGAGACGAGCCAGCGCTGCAGGCGCTCGTTGGTCCACACGAGCACGTCGCGGTTGGCGAGCTCGGCGGAGCGGCGCCGCTCGACTCAGCTAGGCGAGTGTCAGGGTGGGGGTGGGGTGTACCTTGAGGTTGATGGAGACGAGCCAGCGCTGCAGGCGCTCGTTGGTCCACACGAGCACGTCGCGGTTGGCGAGCTCGGCGGAGCGGCGCCGCTCGACTCAGCTAGGCGAGTGTCAGGGTGGGGGTGGGGTGTACCTTGAGGTTGATGGAGACGAGCCAGCGCTGCAGGCGCTCGTTGGTCCACACGAGCACGTCGCGGTTGGCGAGCTCGGCGGAGCGGCGCCGCTCGACTCAGCTAGGCGAGTGTCAGGGTGGGGGTGGGGTGTACCTTGAGGTTGATGGAGACGAGCCAGCGCTGCAGGCGCTCGTTGGTCCACACGAGCACGTCGCGGTTGGCGAGCTCGGCGGAGCGGCGCCGCTCGTCGAGCGCGCGCACGCTGTAGCCGACGCGCTTGAGGCACGCCACGCCGAAGTGCAGCGACGTTCTGGGACATAACGATTACATTGGACACCGACAACAATCACCACATTACTCATTACATTCAAAGATAAATCCCATTTTGATTATACGGCAATTAAAATCACACTCCAATTACGTCCCTATACTATTAGTAATTATAATGTTAGTTGTTAAATCAACCGGTTGGAGCAGGGATTCCGAAACTATTTTGGACAAGAGACCTTTTTCTAAAATGAACTGATAACTTGGACCCCCCTAGTCAAATTACTGCATGCTGCATCGAGTCGTTAAGTTCTTTTTTCAGTACAACAATGATACTTCCTACTAAAGCATTCATAACAAGTTGGTATACGTAACACAACCAATACAGAAGGTTGAAAGTTTCAAATTAATTCAAATAAGAACTTGTGTTAATTAATAGGGGCTCAATTTTTAAACCTCGTCGACACCCAAAATAAGTTTCCGTTTATGTCGACCCCTTGGAAACCGATTTCGACCCCAAGGGGTAGATATTGGCCACTTTTAGAATCCCTGGGTTAGAGTCTACACTGCCAGTTCAAGTTACAGGTATGTGATCCTGACCTGCTAGAGCTATTGCTTACACTTCTCAATCCATTCAAATAAGCAATATCTCTTTCCTATCACTGCCTCAGCACTCAATTTTCCTGTCATATAGTGCCCGGTTGATGACAATAGCACTCTGCTATTACGTGAGCAGTATTAAAACAAAATGTGTGCTTATGATATGTTATAGCTTTACTGTATAATATTTTAAAATTAACGTAGATATAAATTATTGGTACAAATATTACATTATCAGCTCATACAACCACGTATACCATTTAGTGACTAGTTATACTATTAGATTTACTATCTTTTATAAATTGTATTTTTTCGACGGGAACAAGGATAGAGCCCTGTGGGACCCCAAGCATTTGTACTACAAAAGTCTACCCGAAATTAGGCGATTGTGCCTAATTTCGCAAAAGTAAATGAAATCTATCTTTGAAATATATTCAATATTAAGAAATAGTTAGCTTAGATGTATCCTTTTAATGATTTAAACTTTCATAAGCTTTGATAGACAGTACCGGAGGCCTTTTAAAATTCTAAGAAATTTACTTGTTTCATCATATTAAAATCTGTCTAATTTAGGGTCATGATGGTTAGGAACTTTCACTTTCTATAGTCAGTGATAAATTTGAATCGCAAGGCAGAATTTTCAATCAAAGAGCGCTAGTTTTTTTAATAGTCGTTATATAGCTTTGTAATGTTATTTTTAGCAGTACCTGTGAAAACTGTCGACCATTTTAAGTTGCGTCCTCAAGTCCCGTTTGGTGAGATGCTCCAACATCCTCGCGTCGACCAGGCACTCCATAAACGTCGTTCGGTACTGCGGTAAACCTGTGCACGTAATGGACATAGACGTTTTTACTTCAAGACAGAGAGGTCTTCTCTTTTGATTGCTTTGGTGGTGATGATGACAAATAGGGTTTTAATTTTACAACTGATTATTGAATTACTCAAATTTACATTAAAACTGACTCTATCGTTTCCTTTCACGCGACTTCATCAATACTTATGTGACAGGTAACATTGTAAGATTGTTTAGTATCTTACAATGTTACCTGTAATAGATTATGTGTAATTTAATGTAATAGATTATGGTTATGTGTTATGTGTAACAGATTATCATTATTTACGAGAGTCAATAGATAGAAAGGAAGAAAGAATGCGCAGTTACCGAGAGAGGGTAGCCAGACGTTGCCGATCCACTCGTGGTTCATGTCCCCGAAGGCTAACGCGGCGCAGGCTGTGCCGCGTGGGGCCGAGGGCGACGTCAAGGACACCATCTCCTGGATCGCTAGCCGCAGTTTCAGCCGGTGCAGCGGGTTGCTGATACCTGACGCACAAACGGAGGAAATGAGCCGTAGTCGTTTAACGAGGATCCTTCTTCTGAGGATGACGATTTACAGATACTCACCGATCTCTCTCTGTATCTCCTGGTCGGAGAGGGCGGACATGATGGCGCCCGACTTGACGTTGGCACGGCAGGCGGCCACGTACCAGGCCGGCATGCCCACCCACAGCTCGAGCCAGGCCACGACTGTGGGCCCGTTCCACAGCGCGAAGGGCGTGCCCGCGCGCATCGCCTCGCCCAGCAGCTCGTGCCGGTAGTCGCGCTCTCTAGGGGATGAGTACATCATTAGGGAAGGAAACTTGTAATATACCTATTGCTCACCGTTACCGGTAAGTGGTGCGAGAATCCAACAGGGTAATCTGTTTTTTGTCTAGTTACTCATATATTTTATATTTGGTTAGCTTTAATTTCCTCCAAGTATATCTAATATTATGAGATTTGTTTTTATAATGATTTAACATTAGGCATTTATCAATCAGTTCTTTATTGTTTGGGTACAATTTTTAAATTCATTAAAAATATGGAGGTGTTTTAGAGGGTAAATGATAAAAAGTGCAAGGTATAGAAAATACTACTAAGTGGTGTGTCTGATGTGTTATTTTAATTACTAAATACTCTTTATTTCTACAACTTACTCACTCGAAATAGCAAGGTTAGGTAAACTATTACATTTATTTTAAAATTATAATGAGCGTTTAAAATAACAATAGTACATTCGCATTAAGAAAATAGTGACTCAAAGCCCGTTACAAAATTATCGTTACGTACGAAAGTTTGGAGCCTAATTGGTTAGGGGCGGGGCTTGATCGATGCATCACTATTTACTTAAAGCAAATAGACTATACATTGCTAGACAGAATTTGGATTAATGGAATTTAATTAGGTAGTTATTACATATGTACTGACTTGCACTTAGTCCTGGCATAGTCTTGGTGCTGTAACGAGGCGTGGGGAGCGTGAGGCATCGACGAGTGAGGGGTCATGGCATCCATACTCGACTCTTCACCCGCGAGGGTCGCGAGCCCCAGAGACGAGACTGACGACATTGAGCGAGGACTCTGACCTTGTTGTAGCTGCAGGCGAATAACAATATGGAATGAGTAAAAAATATAGCACATCGAGATTTGTAATAATAAGAAACGTTATATATGTAGAAGAAGAACTTTTAATCAATTATGTTACTAGTTATTGCTGGCGAACTTTGAAAATGACCTAACTTGTATACAACCGTTAATCCCTTATTTTACCCCCTCAGTGGTGACATTTCCAAAAAATGCTTTCGTAGTAATTGTTTACAACATAAAAAGCATCAGCTGGCAAAATTTCAAGTTTAGATTTAGGCTCTGCGTTGATGAATTGGTCAGGACAAGTATTTTTTTATCTATAGATGAATTAAAAACTAAAGCTGACCTAGAATGCCTTTGTAACAAAAGTTCAGGGTAACTTAAACCAAATAAATAAAGAAACTAAATTAACAGTAGAAATTCGACCACGAGGCGAATTCGAGTTATTATTAAAATGCTAATAAAAGTTAACACGAAACTAGTCCCCCATGAGATTTCCTGGCAGTGCAATTAATTCCACGGTTTTAATATTGTACCGTGGAATTATTAAGATTAAGAAAAAAAGTCTCTAATATGTAAACAATACGCTGGTTCTGGTATCTTAATGTGAACGGTTTCTTTACATTTGTTGCATCACAATACAAATTAATAAAATTAAAGTGTATTTTTGATATTATATAAAAACCAGCGCTTTATTCTAAACACATCGGAATGTTCACGTCTTACATTTATATCAACAATTTTGTCTGTCTATGTATGTTCTGGGTAATCCACGGAACGGGTAGACCGATTTTCACGAGACTTTCACAGGCAGATAGCTGGTGTTTGGCAGATTGCGTAATATATTGAGTACTTACAGGCATTCCCGCTTTCTCTTTCTTACTGAAGAACCTTCCTAGAGAACTCTTGATCCCTCTCTTCTTCTGCTGATGCATGTTCGCGATGGACACCGCGGAGGAGGATCCGCCTCTTGAGGCACTAACCCCGCTCCACGTGCTCGCCATAGCCCCGCCCATGGAGCCCATCCCTCCCAGGGACTCTTGGCTTGAGCTGGACGAAATATTGCTATTGAAAATAAAGATAGTCAGTGATAGTGGACAAAATGTACTATTTATTAAATAATAGCGAATTGTTATTTAACACTGTGATGAACTTGTGATACATATGTACAGGGGGTTTTAGTAATGAAAATAGCAATTAAGAATAAAAAAATCATGTACAGAGTGTAAGTTATGGCCTACCGATAAACTGCTTCTGTGCAATGACAATAACAATTCTTGTAATGATATAACGTCAAAGTTCATCATTGTTCATCATTAAAATTCAAGATTATGGATTTGGATGGATTACCTTAAACGTTCGGCGCCATCAAGATTGTTAACTTAAATGATTGATTTAATTACAGTTTTCTTAGTAAAATAATCTGTTCACAATTTGTAATAACCCTTTTAATCAGGATAATCCAAAATAATGAAAATTCCAGATTCCATTCCAGAATGATAATTCGAATCCACTATTTCTTCAGAAGGGAAGCTTGAAACAAACCCTATACCAACCCGTCTGGTCAGTGTGGTATAGCAGGCCATAACCTCCTTTCTAAGAAGGCTGTTGATTATTATGATTTCAGCTTTCGGCAGACAGTTCATTACACCCTGTATATATACATATAAAAACTATTACAATCAACATTGGTTAATAAACATTAGCTACCGGTGTTAAGAGAGTGTAAAAGCATAATTGCTGTGCTCTAGATGGCATGATTCGTAGCTAAAATGGAATTACTAAAACTTTTAGCCTCTACTTGGATTCGGGGTCACACAGAAATATCATATAAGAACGCAACGTACCGTGAACCATTTTAAAATCCAGTTTTTAATTGAAAGAAAAGGTTTTAAATAATAATTAGTTCAGTTTTAATAATTCCATTTTTATAATTTATTAGTTAGTAAATAACACTTTTATAAAATATGAGCAAAACATGCAATATTGCCCAGACTCACTGTTTTACTCATTATACTTTTTTTTTTTAATTTTAGTAACACCGAGCTTTAAGAGTTTTTTATTCCGTTTAGTAAGATACCTTATCCTTATAAGATACATTAAAGATCCTTATACTGTCAGATAGCATGGCCGTCCTAAAGGCACTTGAGGGCAACACAATGACCTCTGGTATTGTCTTCGAATGCCATCAAGCATTGGAGCAGCTTGCCACAACAAATGGGGTGCTCCTCCAATGGATTAAAGGGCATATTAATTCACACGGGAATGACGCTGCAGATGAGTTTGCAAGGAGGGGCTCGGCAACCCCGACATCCGGCCCAAACACACTCCTGCCTTTTAACCAACTTCGATCCTCGGTTAGACAGCGTACTCGTGAAGCGCACAACCGAAGGTGGAAAAACTCACCCGGCTGCAGACAGTCCAAACTGGCGCTGACTACTCACCACGACTTACTTGCAGACTGATTGGTCTTAGCAGACTAGATATCCAAATAGTTGTAGGAACTATCACAACCCTGAACCGACACCTATTCATCATTAATGCGACAGACAGTCCTCTTTGCAGAAGATGCTTGAAAGCAGAAGAAACGGCCGCCACGTAATCCTGGAATGCGAGGGAGATGCCACACAACGGGCAAGTACCATACCTGGTACAAAATCGCTCCTAGAAGCCAGTGAACGCCCTAGGAGGCTCCTGCGCTCCTGAAAGGAGTTCGGTTGGCTCTAGACGCATAAAGGACCACTCTCGAGTCGAAATGCGGCAATCGGAGCCCACAACCATTATCAAGGTACCAATCCTATCATTCGTCGTTTTGTAAGCATTTTTAACAAACTAGGAGAAACATAAGTAAACACTAAGACTTATTGTCAACTTAGATTATATAAGCACTGTAAGTTATCACCAAATTGTAGATAATATTTAGACATAAAGTTAAGCAAAAAATGTAAGTAATTTGTTACATATGTTTCATAGATGTAACAGATAGGAACTTATTTCAGAATCCTGTATTTACGGCGCTTACAGACAGTTCTGTAAAATTGGATTGAATTTGTGACAAAAATTACTTTTTCCATCTCCTTGCTGCTTGAGTATTCATCACAATATACTTGAAACATACTTTAGTAAATGTTTTATAATTACTATACAACTCATGAAACTAACATCAATGACTAAATTCTGACAATATGCATAGTTCTTTATAGACTTTATTCGCTGTTGTGCACAAGTAGAATCTGTTATCTTTGTATGTGACACAATCTTTGTATGTGATACCTTCTTATGACATTTCTAGATTTATACCTGACTGCAAGTTTACAGCTTGTTTAACTTGTAACCACTTATCAATGAGACATTGAAAACGAAAAAGGTCTCAATTTATTAACATTTCCAGAACTAATTCAATAACGCATCCCCGCTTGATAAGTAAGCTTCCTGGAGGTCTGTATCGGTTGTTGAAGGCTTCTTTCTTAAAGTAAGTTTGGGTGTTTTCTATGTATAATATTTTTGTATTTACAAAATAAAAGTATACATGTGTTTTATCAGTTAATCTAACTTTATAATAATACAAGCTCTGCTTAGTTAAAACTAGATGGCGTTATATGTCAGATAATCGAAAAGTATTATATTATTAGAGCGCCATTAATACACCCATTTCTGATAGCACAGTGTGTAGTTTTAGCCGGTTCGACTAAAAAGGTCTTCACATGCTAAAAAACAGTTCGTGTGAAATACATAGACTTGACGATCTTTAATTTTGTTTAAATAAAAAAAGAAATCTATGTAAGTAATTAGCAATTCTTAGATTAGTCGCATGTAATGTTCAACATGTATGACGCTGTCATTCTAACTCTCAAAATCAAATAGCACCCAATTCCCAGGACCATGTTACACATTTCCGTCCCTTTTCACGTAATCTCTCCCAACGATTACAGGGAAGCGAGAGGAAATATGTTAACAAACACAAAGAAAGTACTCCCTCCTTGGTCTTTAGTTTTGTTGATATTTCAAATATAACTAGCAGATTTAACTAAACACGGGTGATGTAACAGATCATTATCGACGATCTTATACAAGCTAGACTTCAAGCACAATTTGTGAGGCATATAGTTGAACAGTGTGTCTGGGCAATCGCACCACACGTGGGAAATGTCCACTTGCGATGCGAACATAGGTTTGTTCAGTTTAGAGAGAGACGGAGACCTGTGCATCGGGATGCGGGCGGACGACATTATTGAACTCCTGCGCAGCGTGTGGGAGAAAAAGATTAGTGGTTAGTTGTTTATGGTATATTATATTAATGTGTTTAGTATTATTTATTATTAGAAGCAGAGAAGCAATTATTGAAACTGGTTATGCAGAAAATTATATATTACTCTATATTTATTGCTTTTTATTAAACGTATTTGAAATAAGATAAATTGATGTAATTAGTATGTGAAAGGGAAAGTGAAAGAGGTCTGACACAATTTGGAATACAGGGTGTAAGGGGCATCGTAACGAATACTGAAATAGTGTATAGTGAGTCGAAAAGCATTGGAATTTTCTGCCGAAAATTCATGAATTTTATAATTTTCCATTTTTTTGGTTAAAATGCTATCATAATGAGTAAATTAATTAACACAAATTAATAAATACCGCATAGTAATTAATCAAACAGCCGAAGCGCGCGGGGCCTCGTAGACTGTTTGCACGGAATACACATGTTTTTATTACTTTTGTGCGGTACTTTCGGGGTATGACCTTTATTTTTGACAGCTGATTGCATTTAATTTTTCGGCAAGATTCCAATTTTCGACTCGAGAATGATGGTCTGAATGCACTATTTCAGTAGTCGTTACGATGTCCCTTCCACCCAATATAGAAGGGATAGCAATGTTGAGTGCATTATTGTAGTAGGCAAGATGAACTTGGGATTTGTGTCCCGTTTGATAAATAATTTCATTCCTTGAAATAAAAATAATAATTGGAGGGGTGGGCAACTTATCTTATGTTAGTAGATTTTATTTATGAATATAGTAGGGATTGCAATTAGTCTGGTTCCGGCCATTATCGTCACCGATCCTACCGGATCTTGTTCATTATAAAGGTGTTAGGTTAAAGTAATAATCCGCGGGAATCCTTCCAATGATCGAATCGAATCGAATGAATGATCGGTGTCATATATATCTCTATATCAGGGCGACAACTAAGGTGGACACTGAAAATCAGTACTGAGGTGGCATCTATCCACCGCAGTGTACCCTGAGGGTCCACCGATTTTCTGAAACACCGCGTACAACTCTCAGCACCTTTTATTTTTATGGTACATACATCACAGACGTGTGGTTGAATACGTGGTACATTGGCGTGTTATATCAATTCTGTCAAGTATGATAATTTGACTCGATTTTAAGTTTCTTTGTGTGTGTTGTTTTTTAACTTTTGTTTTATTTTTGTATGCTGTGTTTTATGAAATAAATAATATTATATTGTATATATCAGTGGCGGTCAACTCACGCGTCGTAGGGCGGCTGGTAGTGTCCCCGCAGGCGGTCGCGCTCGGCGTGGATGGCGCGCGCGGCCCGCTCGAGGCGCAGCGAGCGCGACGTGAGCGGGGACTCCGCGCCCTCCGCGCCCGCGCCCCCCACACCGCCCTCCTCGCACAGCTGCAACTGTTCAGTACGACCACTGTCACTACTGCTCGCAATACAACTTACCCCAGTTTATATTATATATAAGCTCTGCTACATTACAATACACGAATGCTATTATTATTATGATTTTTTGTTACTTTAATATAATAAATCGTACTAATGTCTAAAATTTCAACTATTACAAGTATATTAAAAATGTGAACGTAATAAACTCTATTCAGATTGTTTATTTTCACATTAACTAAGTTACTAAAAATGAAACTAAGTTGTACGAACTCGTACTTAGCTAAGTCAGCGAACAACTCGAACAACGAGCCCCAACATAAGTAACTTTATAATTATTAAGTTGGTTCAAACATATTATCAAATTATTATTTTAACAATTCTAACTATTCTATTTTTTTAAGATAAGTATCTATTTATACAGTTATTTAATCATTTATACAAGAAATAGCAGTCTCAACCAATGATCACGGCCAATGCAACCTGGCTAAACTGTCATGCAAATCACAATGTAAGTACCATCTATTGAAAGCGTGATTTCCAGTGTAAACTATAATATATTATTATCATGAGGTGGGCTTAACAGTAAGTACATTTATAAACTTAAGCGGGGTATAGTATATACTACGTAATAATATAATAAACTGTAGACAATACTCCAGTGACAGTCGGACACAAACACAAGCTGCGCTACGGCGCGTGAAGCGGTGGTGAGCACGTACAATTCGTTATTTATATTACAATTTACTTATAATATGATATATTAAGCATATATAAGCTCAAACACAGTGGATATATAGTTTTTATATTTGTACAGATTTTTCACTACAAGTATACGACTCAGACTGATGGTGTGAATATACTATTTCAGTATTCGTTACGACGTCCCTTACACCCTGTACACAGATAGATAGTACCGCTGTCTCGGGCGTCAACAACTCTTATTTTATGCCTAAAATTTTTGATTCTTCTCAAACTAAGTTGGGGTCGGTTTCGTCTACTGCAATACGGCTCAGCCTTATTACGTGGAGCGACTATTACCAGACCTCCACAACCCAAGTACTAGGCGACATCGAAGTTTTATAGAAAGAATGTTGTCAGACGTTTCAGGGATCCAACTACAACGATCTACAATGTAACGATGTGCACAGATGTTTGTATGGCAACCGGAACCGATGGCCCATGGCAATGTGTTAAGAATGGTCACCCATCCATAGACTGACCTGGCCGGATTGCTTAACTTTGCAATGTGTTAACCTACCCGGTTATCACTTAGCCACGAGCCTTCCTTTTATTCAGTGGTAAGTATGATAGTTATATTTTATTATTATTTCTACTCTCTTTTTGACCTGCACCATTTTTTATAATTATTATGAAATAAAATGTTGAAGTCAATTATACCTCCAAAATAAAATACGCTGGTGCATTATAAGTTATTACAACAATTGATTAATGCAAAATATTATTGATAAACAGTGGAATTACTAGGATTTGACAATTTATTTGTGTAATATATTTTTACAAAGAATATTTTTTTCTAAATTATAGATATTCACTACATCATACTTTTATGTATAAGTTATTAAGCGCTCATTGAGCGAAAAATTCGCTTACTACGCGATGTGTGACTATTGATATAAAATAAATTAAATATTATGTGGATAAGTTATATGGCGTAAGCTACTGGGTGTGTACTTCCTACAGATGCATACCGCTATTGATTATTATTAGATAATTATTGAGTTTAAGATAACATGAATTTCTTTTAACATTACAAAAGCGAGATAAAAATGTGTAGTAGTGGTATACAGGGTGGGACGGCGCTAGAGGTGCATGGCGAGCACGGACCTGGCTGGACGGGAGGCTCTCGGAGGCGGCGCCGCGGTAGTGCGCGTGCGCGGGGGACATGGACGCCGGCGCCTCCACACACACACACACACAGTTACATACTATACATGTATATTAACAACTTACAACTAGATATATAGTTTATTGAGACCAGATGAAACAGATTACGTACTGAGAGCGTTGGGTACGTACGTATGCAACATTGTATAATCCTTATACGTTAATTTAAAAATGTAAAATACATAAAGTGTAGAACAAAGATATCATAAAATTTTCTAAATAATTGCGAACAGTTTTCAAAAGTTATCAGGGAATTCCCCTCTTTCTAGCCATAATTTGGGAATCCCAGGTAGTAAATAAATTATTTGGTGTTTTGTTTTTTATTTAATCTAAAAATCAAACACACGTTTTATATTTTTTTTTATCAATATACGTGACATGTTAAACTAAAGCACCAAACTAGTTAAAATCTAAATTTACATATACATAAGATTTTTATATTTCACATGGTCATAGAACATCGGCAATACTATTATACCATTAATACTTCAAAAACACAACATATTTACACAAAATGGTTACACAAAAGAAATTATGATATGTTATAACAGGAGGCGTTAAATAGAGTCAAAAACTCCTTCACCAAATTGAAGAAAATATTATAAATAAACTACAGTCACAAGCAAACAAATTTATTGCTGTGTACCTATTAGTGGCATCTTCGAGGTATTTCGGACCTCAGTGGATAAATGTTGGTAGGTAAAAGCACAAGTAAAAAAAACAGTTGCACTCCGGGAGTGCCGACAGAAGTAAAAACGTGAAAATTAAAAATAAAAATTGAGTATAACAGGTTTTTTTTCGATTTGAAAAGTTTCGACATATATCATCACACCCACAATATATATTTATGTTGTATATATATATATATATATATATATATATATATATATATATACACAATATTGCTTTGTATTATATATATAGTTATATTATCAAAGTATTTCAACCCAAACTCAACTCTCGTGTAAACGGGGTCAATATATGTACATACTTATATACAGAGGTGTCGGTAACGGTAACAGTATCGAGAGTTTTTCCTCATCTCAAAAACTGAGTTTTATGTTGAACCATAAAATACATTCTTTTGTTTGTTGGTCAAAAATAACCAACACGCCTAAAGAAGTTTTCACTTCTATAAAAATGTAACGAAATATATTATAATTAGTTTTATTTACTATGTGTCATTAAAAACCGCTTTAGTGCTATCAATTAATTATCGGGCTGAATAATTAAAAAGAAAAATAAACTGAACATGGCGGTATTCGCTTGTGACTGAAGTTCTAATACCGTGGCAGACAAAGTAGAGTGTATAGTAAGCTGAGTATGGCATACGTACGGTGTGGTACTTGTGGTGCTGCGCCAGGTGCGGGCGCGAGGGCGAGGCGGCGAGCGGCGGCGAGTCTCCGCGCCGCGACACCACGTTCATGTGCTCGTAGCTGCCCACCTGCCGCGCACCCCAGTTACTCGCACCGCCACACCACTCACCCACTCCCACCACCACTTATATCGCCGGATCACAAACATATTTACGGACCATTTTTCTAAGTCCCGTTCATTATTTAGTCCCGTTAAGTACCGTTCATTATTCAGTCCCATTAAGTACCGTTCATTATTTGAAAAATCAAGATATCCACGTTACTTAACATACAACAATATTTTTGTGATCCAGTTTTTCAATGTATGGAGTGGAAAAATTATACATTATAATCGATTAACAACCGATTATAATGGTAGCAGATATTAGGAAGAGATGGTAGAAGTATATATGTGTGTACACGTCGTCATTCGATTATATCATGTCTTACTACATGTGGTACCGATTATAGATTTTTAGAAAAATTCCATAATTATTTTTGACGTTCTATTTTCAAAGCACACTTGTTTTATAATCGTATGACAACAAGAAAGACAGAAAGGTAAAATATAATATAATAATATTGAAGACAGTAATTTATATCAATTAATTTTGTGGGTCATATTTTTTTCTAAACTAAAATGACACAGTTAAAAACTTTTTCAGGTATATTTTTAATTGTAATATTTGTTTTCAAAACTTTTAAATACTACCAATTCGTAAGTTATTATTTATATTATTATAAAGCAATCCTTGTTTAAAATAACTATTTTCGGTTGAACAACAGATTCATCATCCGAACTTTAAAATGTAGGTATATACAAGTGTGAGGGACGTCATAACGACTACTCAAATAGTGTATTCAGACCATGATTATGAGTTGAAAATCATTTTTTTTTCATAATTTTACATATTTTTGGTTAAAATGATGAAAAATGATATTACAATGAGTAAATAGAATATTTTACAGGTTTTTTTATTATAAATAAATGCCGCATACTGTCAAAAAACTGCAGTTTGTTTGTTTGTTTGCTCCCTCCCCTGCGGCCGCCAACTTATGTTAGTATGTTATTACTTGTAGTTATTACTTTTGTGCGATACGTACGAAGAATGACCTTAACCTTTGACAGCTGATTTCATAAATAGTTCAATTTGCCAGCAAAAGATTCCAATAACTTCGACTCAGATTAATAGTCTGAATACACTAGTCCAGTATTCGTTACGACGTCCCTTACACCCTGTATAAATTCAAAGAAGAAACCTGTTAAGAAGAAACTGGATATTATTTGACCTTTCTGATTATTTGTATAAATTAAGGATAAACTACCATCACCTTTGTGAAAACTCAGCAGTAAGCAATAACTAACTCTGCCTAAAATTCCAACAAATATTTTTTAACCATTATACCGTTGTCGTTGAAAAGTTGATAAATGAAAATTAGTGCATACGACGGCCTTTGAGCACACGTCTTGGAAAAACCTTATTCCTCTTACCCTGGACTCCAACTCCTCGGCCCTGGCTTCTGTGCTCTGCTTCTCCTCCTGTATGAGCCTTATCTCTGTGTTGATGGCGTCGAGCTGTTCCTGCAACATGAGCGCCAGAGCCGCGGCATCCGTGTGCCCCCCCTCTACTCCACCATCAGACTCATCGTTCTGTGACACAATGTCATACATCTAAATTAAAAAGAAATAAAATATTAAGTGTTGGTAGAAGTTTGATGGATTTGCATTTTTAGGTTTAAATTCAAACCATGCAAACCATATTTCCTGTGAAAAAATGAAACTCTAATAAACATAAGAATGGTTCTAAAATAATAATAATAATATTCTACCACATTCACACAACGCCATCTAGTCCCAAACTAAGCAGAGCTTGTACTATGGCTACCAGACAACTGATATAAATACATTTATACTTTTTTTTTGTAAATACATACTTATTATACATAAAAACACCCAGACCAGATCAAACATTAAATGTTCATGCACACAAATGTTTGACGTGAGCGGGAATCGAACCCGCAACCAGGAATAGCAGTCCGTTACACAAACTACTACGCCATTCGGTCGTCAAATAAAAGTACACATATGAAAGTAATATTTATATTATTTGATGTATCTAAGTTTATTTCTAGACAGACCGAAAACTAGGAGACTCTTGTATTTAACTATTTGAAATTAGAAGATTACCTCAGCATCGCTAGAGACGTCGAATGATTGCTGCACGTTGGCCAACACGTGCGCTTGCTGCAGCTTCTCCCAGGAGCTGTCCAGTTTGGGCTGGAACATTCCAGGGGGAGGCTGCTGCTGGCCCGCGGGGGACAAGGAGCGGGTCAGAGCGTCCGTCTGCTGGATGTTAAAGGCTATCTCTTGTTCTAGCATTTGCCGTTTTAGCTGGAATATATATTTAGGCATTTTTTGTTACTATTATAAAATACAGGTTTTCATGATATGATCGTTGGGGTCGCCTTTTTATTTCGCTCACGTCATGCATTGGTGAGAGAGGTTATTTTGTAGCATATTCTGGACAGTGTGGGTTCTCTGCTTGTGCTAGTAGAAGGTAAAGTGGAGAAAACCAGGATCAGGCCAGTTCGCTGTTCTTGGATGAACTAACAAAAAACATATGTCATTGTAGTTTTGTAATTTTAAGTCCAAAATATTTTTTGTATTCAATTTTCACCTGTTCAGTTTCCATGCGCCACTTGGCCAGTTCCTTGAGAATGTCCTGTTTCTCCGCGAGGAGTTCATCAGCGTATTTCCTTGTCTTTTCTAATTCTTGCGTCAGTGCGTTCTTTTCGTCTAACGCGTGCATACGCTCTTTGAGGTGAACTTGCAATCTGTAACATTTAAAAATAAGGTAAAGTTGAAAAGGTGACAAATAAGTAACACCTCAATATCTGGTAGTGCTTCAACTAGGTCTTCTAGGAAAAGCTCTCCTGAAGAGTCCTCATAGTACATTCTGGAAATTGGAAGTGCCAATATAACGGAATTCTTTTGTGGTGGAAGGAGCCCACTGTGAGGATTTAAAATCTAGAAAAAAAATATTAGTCAAAAATTTTGTAAATTTTTATAAAATATCTAAAAGTCCAATATCTGGAAAATGGTTAGGTTTGAGATCTGGTATTTCATAGTGAAATCTATTAGAAATTATGGCTACTACAACCCCCTAAAGTATCTAGGTCGACTTATCCTGTAACCCTATATATTGCCAAATAGGGTTTTGCTGTCAGTAAGGCTTTCTAAAAGCTGTTCTTTTTGTTTAATTCCTGTACGTACCTGTCATTCGACTCTGACAGTAGCTTGTCAACAGTGGCCGAAAGCCTAGTGTTGTGTTCCTCGTTCATCCGCAGCCGTTGGTTGAGTCTCATCAATTCGGCGTTCTTCTCCTCCACACTGGCCTCCAGTCTCTGGATGCGGTCTTCAGCTGAGCCGTGGCGTTCCTGGGCCTGGAAAGAAGTTTTAGTAATTTTGAGCTTAAAAAAGCGTGTTACGGGGACCTTGGAGCAATGTACTTCATCTTAGAATGTATTGGTTTATTTAAAATGCCAGACTGAATTACTGTTTTAACAGCGTAAATTGAGTAATTTATAAAGAAATTATAGCAGTGTATTAAAGTGATAAAGTGGTTTTTAGTGGAATCACCACATACTCGTGGCTCCTCAGTCCCCGAGGAGCAGGACATCCCAAGGGATTTTCTACCCCGCCAACAAAAAAAAATAGGGTGTTGGCAGTTTGAGTTGCTGATTAGAAAACAAAGAAATTTGTAATAGACTTTAACGTCATCAAAAAGCGATTTTGTGTGATTGCAACTATTATGTGATTAAATGGTGTATGGCAACATATGATTGTAATTTTTAACCTTTCAGTGTGTATGTAAAAGCGTCAGAATTGTGTTTATATGTCATCAACAGGAGGCGACTTGACATACAGATCACTTTTATCTTTTACGATCTAAACTGATGCTTTGCACCTAAATAATAAGCTTTTGCCTGAAAACATACATTTGCCTCCGTTGTTTCATGTTCTGTGGATAAGATACCTTTTTTTGTATTGGCATAACGCGAATTAGCAAGTTGTGTCAGATTTGCTGATATTACTGCTGCTGGTTGCTGGTGTGATGAATGCAAGTGCTTTTTGTTAAGAATGAATGTCATGTATGTGAATATATAGTGAACATAGTTAAAGTATGTACAAAAGAAGCTACTAAAATTCCTAACACACAAAAACAGTTGTTTGTTGAATTAAAATTTCAGTCTAACTTATAGTTTATAAGTGTAAACGAAATTATGTAAAATATATCGCTCCAAAGTACCCGATAGTTTGATTTTCTAAAGTATGAAGCACCCATAACACATTTTTTTAACAGACAATAACACAAAAAGCTATTAATCTGATCAATAACAACTTTTAAAGCCATTAGGGTCCCTCTTAAGGAACCCTGAGGACATGTAAGAAGCACCGGTAACACTTTTCTTAAAATTTAATATCAAGCTATTTGTCTAAAGTCGACAGATCTAAAACAACTTTGTTAAGACATTAGGGTCCCTTTTAAGGAACTATATATTATTAGATTATCTATTAAATCTAAATCTATTCTAAGTTGACTCTAAAATTAATTATTTCACCTGGATCTGCGTCATTTTCAAGTCGTTGATCGTTTTAGTACATATAACAAAGAAAATATATACGTTGTCAATTTGTTATATTTTACAAAAATATACTTACTATACATACAACTAAAGATACTTCAACTAAGCATCTGACTGGAAGGTTAAACAGGGGTGATATAACTAATATATTTGTCAATTGGGGGTACCCTAACGCTATCTACTAGACTTGGTTTCAATAACAGTTGATACTAAAGTACCCTAGGAGTTCACGATCTTTGATTTACCGTCATTCGCTAATATTAACTCAGTAGTTGAACTGTTAAATAGTTCCTATTTAAATTATTACCGTCAACAAATGGGCATCAGGTACCCTAAAGACTTAAGTCGTCAACCACCAGGAACCCTAATCTATCTTCGGTATGGTGTTATTGTACTATACATAATCGTACACTAAAATATACAAAATAATGCAAATGGAACATGAGAAGCAGAAAGCATGATTATTTGGTATTAGTCACAACACTAATTAAATTATTTTAAGTTTTGTATTGTCACTGTTGACTCATTCATGCACATCTAAGCATATTTAATGTTTAGTTTTTGGCTTTTACTTATAATAAATATTTGTATTTAAATAGGAATATTATCTATTTTTGTAATGCCTTTTTTACAATACATTTATTAATAATACAAGCTTACGCCCGCAGTGGTCGCATTAATGTATGCTTTATCAAATGACTTAATGACTCTGAGGTACAGTATCGTTTTCTTGGATTAGAGATACCCTAAAACGTGTATAGTTCACGTGTGAAAAGATCACATAACAAATAAACTCACATTTAAATTTCTAATACTAATTTTAGATTATTTATTATCTTACATCTAAGACATGATAATAAGCCTTCTATTGATTTCTTATGTTAAAAGGAAAGCACACTAAGGTTCATTTAGAGAAGTAATTATCAAACTATTCTTAACTTCTTTTAGTGGTTCTTGAGCCCAACAAAGATCTGAAGTCCTGTATCATATTTAAAGACTTATTATATGTGAATTTTCAAAGAATTTAAAGCTCAGGTCAGATAAGTGTCAGGTTATTAAAAATGTACTCAAAAATATTTCACACTTATTCTAATATTAATTTGCAGGTAAGTTATAGTCCTAAGATTTTAGAATTATCTTATATCCATCTCCTACAATCTCTCACGCAACGCACCTGGCTCAGAGCCTCCATCCTAGCCTTGAGCTGCTCCTCCATCTCTGGCAGACTGGACATCTGCGAGAGCTTCTGCGCGGAGAGCTCCAGTTTTTCCTCGATAGCTGCTATCTTCTCCTCTTGAAGCTGGGGGAGAAGGCATGAAGGTGCTGATGGTTATGGGAAGCATAGACTGTGGTAGCTACATGTCAGGGTTAGTTTTGTTAAAACACTTTAGATGACACTGAAGTTTGAACATTTTATTTTATTATAATAAGGTACTCATTAGGATCACAGACTTGCTAAAGTAAATCTGCCGTAAATCTTGATAGATCTCGTCTAATTTCGGTGCTTATAACTTATAATAAAATTCGGTCTCAGCCAACGGAAGGTGTCGAAGCCAAAGTTGATGGTTCGGTCGAGCACACGACTAGTTGCACCAAACTCATGGCCAGCAATTTTTTATTCACATAACTTCATAAATAACATAAATATATAATTATAAAAGTAAGGAATTTAATTTATTCTGAAAGTTTTAATATTAAGACACATACGTAGTTTTCAGAACTCACTAAAGTCAGTGTGCCAAAATTCAGTGCAATCTAATAAATACTAAAAGGGCTACTTTAAAATACTGGAGATAGGAAAAACTTCTGCAAGGTATATGAAAAAGTCTGTAAGGCACTTCTAAATATTCGATAAACCTACATCTATGTACACATGGTTAATCTGTCTCACTCTTCATGCATCGGACACGACTGATACTTAGACATAAGAATACATTTAATTCGCGTGACTTTTCGTCTCTTTATCTAGAACTAATGGGACACACGACACCTGAAAATTAAACTAACTAGTAACACAGACATATAAAAAATGATCGTACTCGTACATAAACTCAACACGCGATAAAGTGCCCATTTGCGTTAAGAAAATAGTGACGCAATAGTGACGTCTCGATCAAGCCTCGCTCTCTGATGAATCAGGTTCGAAGTTTTCGTATGAAACGAGAATTTTGCAGGGGCTTGATCAATGCTACTATTTTCTTAACGCGAATGGACTATAGATGACTTTTTGTCTTAAAGCCTAAGTGTTTGCTATCGTGATTTCACCCTGATCAGTGTCTTATGTCCCATTATTTCAGACGTTGAGGTATCTATCCTACTCCTGGTACAAATTGAATACCTGTTCCTACACTACAGAACAGACCTGGAAGTTTCAAGAAGCTGACGTTTCTAACCTGACGGTAGACATACCTTGAGTTGCGCCTGTTTGTGCTGCAACTCCTGTTCGAGCTTCTCGTTGAGGTCGTGGAGCGATGTCGATTCGCGTTGTGCGTTTAGGTAACGCTTCTCCAGGGTAGCTATTCTCTCCTCCTGTGTGACAAATATAAGATTCAATATTTAATCTTTAATCAGTTGTGATACCACTTTTAATGAAACCGGCGTTAATAATAATAATATTTTCGGACGTCTAACACACAACGCCATCTAGTTCCAAATTAAGCAGAGCTTGTACTACGAAAGCTAGATTGACTGATAGAATACTTTTATACTTTTTTATTTGTAAATACGTACATATTATACATAGAAAACACCCAAACTCCGAAACAAATATTTGCAGATCATACAAACATTTGGTCCGACCCAGGAGTCGAAGCCGAGGCCTGAGCACAGCAGTCGCATACGCTACTACTGCACCACTGAGGCAGTGTTAAGGAATTATTACGTTGCTTAACACCGAGTGAGGTAACTGGAAGTCAAACCCCTCTTAAGTCTTGGGCAGTCAATGAGCGACAATGTCCTTGTGTCTCATGAGTTGCAGGTTTCCGTGGTGGTGAAATAGAGCATATATATACCATGTTTAAGGTTATTGAAACAGTCTCACTGAGCAGTTGTTGTTTTTTTTTTGTTATGGGTTTTTTAATGATGCTATTACTAACATTCTTAAACACTCTAACATACCTGGTCTTCCTTCTGTGCAACGTTTTCTCTCAGATCCCTCTGGAGCTTGACACACTCTTCTTGCTTCTTAGCGAGCTCCTTCTCACCCTTGGTCAGCCTCTCTTCTAGTTCTGTCACTTTATTGTTCAGCTCAGCGACGCGACGCTGCCACGAGCTAAGCTCAGCTGACTGTCAGCAGAAATTAACCACGGTTAAATAGAAAATACATACATGGGCTTTTAACTTTATAGCAATAGTACTTAAATGCTTATATATTTTATCTGAAAAGCAAAAAATAATGATATGAAATTTGCAAGGCAGTTACGATTCAAATTTAGTTTCTTTTTTGTGTCCCCATAAGTAATAAATTTTGAATACAATGATTTGATATTAAAGATAATAATCTTATTAATGAATCAATCAATAAGTAATAATCTAATTTTCGAGATACATTGAAACTTTTCAGGGTAACGGTGCCACTGCACCAGGGACTTCCTTTCTAGGGTATACCTGGTTCCCCGGCTATTAGTACCCGAGACGGCGTGCGGTTTTAGTCGGTTCGAGTCCGACATGCCACTGATAGGTGGTATCCGAGGGGATTCCCGCACGGAAAAAAAAAATGGGTAACGGTGCCACTTACCTTTATATTAACCAATAAGTGTATACGTAACCGTACGATCACTACGGTGAACAGTGGTTATTGTGTTAGTGTCGATGATTGTTACTTTCATGACTAGTGACGTCAGTGTGATTCTATTACAGAGTATACACAAACACGAGTTGCCGTATATGATCATTTCATACAACATATACTTCGGGGATGAGTTAAAAAAAGTTTAACAGAAAAATAGGTTGGAAGTTGAAAATATAAATGAATTAGTGGTCTCATCAGTTTGGGCTTGATGAAGTGTAGAGTTGCGCAACGAGCAATGAAGAGGGCAGATAAAGGTGGAAAGAAAACGACCAACGGTGGATGCAGCCGAGTTCAAACTGGTCTTGAGCTGAAGAAACTCAAGAGTCACATGACGTAAAACTTTAAAGATTGTACCTGGGCAAGTATTAACTTATGGTAAGAACTTTTTTTCAAAGCATTTATTAGGAGCACAGAAGTGTGGGCTGGGAATACTGCCTAATAGAGTAAAAGGAATTTTGGTTCAAATTTGATTTCAGTTCTTTATTAAACAATGTTTGATTGGATGATCTGCGGCCCACCAGTTGTGTAACTCGTCTTCGTTTATACTCTGCGTTTCGATGGTTACTCTAACTATGTCTATGGTAGCTAGGCATGCGGTTATATGTTACAGCTACCTTAATGATGCAGGCTTATTCTAATTTATAATAAACATTCAGAATTTACTTTATACATCTTTAGATTAGCTACTGGATTATAACGTCGTCTGTTCAGACGAAAAGTTTTCGTCAGATGACGTAGGTGTCCCTTAGACCAGAATCCACAAGATGAGTATTATTGTTAAAAAACAATTAGGATTAATAGACAGTCATTGTTGACAGACAGTTTTTTTATTATGTGTAACATTTATCTTCTCTCTTTCCTAATCTGTTTCTTTCCGTTTTTTTAACTTTTTTTGACTTTACAAACAACACCCAAACTTGGAACAACAATTTGTGGATCACACAAAGTGTTGTCCATGTGTGGATCGAACTCACAACACTCAGCGCAGTAGGAAAGGGGCGAGGTAACCGCGCAAACCACTACGCCATCCGTGCAGTCAGTCTGTGGAAGTTATTTTGTAAAAGGGGACGGAAATTTGTAACAGGAAGCCGGTGAAGCAAATTCTGTTTTATTTGGCCAATGAGCGCGCGGCTAGAGTTGTCCGTCAGATGGCAGTTGAGATATTAGATGTTACACGTCATTTGCGACTACTGTAAGGCCAACTCGATTTCTTAATTAGCTAAAGGCAGCCCATACAAATATTCCATTTGTCAGAATTTGTAAGCGTCATCGACAAGCATGCATCCTAGCTTTGTACATCGTTCGATTCCAAAGTAGACAGCAGTCGTTTAATCGACCGGCTGGAAACATATACCGAGCTATTTTATCATAGAATTGATGTTTTAAGTATCTGATAATACTTTTGTCCCAATTTAGTATACTTCTAGCCATAAATAAGTATATTTTGAAGTTCGTGTTTGAAATAAAAACCAAAATTACCTTCTTTTTTTCTCACTTAAAGAGTTCTTTATAAATAATTTTATATATGAGTATAAATGTCTCGAACCTGGAATCAATTGATTTAACTATTTAATTTAATCAATGCCAAAATACAGAAAACCCGACATATTACTATTATTCTATTATAGGTTAACTTTACGCCGAAAACATTAGTTAACTCAATAAAAAGTACATTAATTTTACAGTACAATTAACTATATTTACATGATATGTAAAATTTTTACTACATCAATAAATAACCTGCTATCAAAAATCGTTCCATTAGTACTAATAACTTGATATCCAAAATTAGGCAAAGCCTAATTGATCAGAATAATCAGAATGCTGATAAATAGACTTGGGTATGCATTGCTTTTGAAGGATAATGTACACCTGGACATAAAACGATTTTTAAATATGAATACATTTTGGGTGGAAATCGAAGCTCTCGCTTACTAAAACCCATAAAACAGGCCAGTATGGCTCTGAAGCTTCGTATAAATCAGTCGGTACTCGGTATATATTTCCACATGATATACGTTGGTAATAAAATTCTGACAAATGGTATCATAATTCTTTAAAGCGATTAATTACATATTTTGCATCGTTTTATATATGGATATACTGATAAAGTATTGTGTTCACTGTACTGTGTTAAGGAATTGTTGGAAAGCCGTCAGACACAGCGATGTTTACTTGTCAAGATAGAATTACATAATGGGCTGTGTAAAGGATCATCCTTTCGAATACTCGTACATATCATGTTTAAATCTATTCGAATATTTTTTAAATCAGAAAAGAACACAAAATTTGTTAGCCTATGAATGTTTTAGTCAAAATTGCAATACTCGGCAAGATTTGCAATAGAGTGAACACAATTTACTACAGTTTTAAATCTAATATAACTTTGTTAGCGACATTCATTTTATGATCATATGCGATGCATCTTTATGGCGAATTGAGTTGCATTTACTAGTTAAAGGTACAATTTAGTATTAGTACAATGTATGTATTATAGATGGCGACACGAGCGTGCACTGGCAGTCAGACCGAGGTTAGGTCGGTTAGTTTCGAATGGTGTGGCTCACGAACGGGTCTGGTGATTTGGGTAACTTAACGTCCTTCTAACTTTGTAACGATATAAATTAAAAACTTGTTTTTTTTTAAATTATTAAATATTTATCTTATTGGAGTTCATATTCTAAGCATTTAATTAAGAGTAAGTTACCTTAATTAAAGTGAAAAAAAAAATTGGCATGTTAACTCTTGTATGATGTTTTTTTCCATAATCGGTTACAGTTTTCTATTTTGGAATAGGCCATGAACATGGGCCACTTAGGAGTCACAAGAGCGTTGCAAGCCTTTGAGAAAGGAGTACGCTCTTTTCTTGAAGGTTATATTATGAACCTGTATAAGATGACATGAAGAGAAATTATTGTTGTTTTGTATCCGTCACCCGTTTCTGCTCAAAATTTATAGTAGAATATCATTTAAATTTAAGCCCATGATTAACAAAATATTAGTGCTCGTTGTACATTACGACTAAAAGGTAATATTAAAGACCTTTCGAGTTTAGTCGTTTTTGAACTACTTAACTATTACTATATTATTCCATACAATTTTAATTTCCTAGTTAATAACACAACAGTACGTTTTCTATCACACTGTATATAATTTGGAAATATCAATCTGTATATCCCCTGTACAAATCACCACGACAAAGTACATTCACCACACCACCCTGTACCACCACACATGATGCAATAGCAATATATTTCATCTCTTTCTCGCTAACCTGCTTGGCGATAGTATTTTGGAGCTCGCACACTTTTCTTGTCGTCTCCGTGTCGCCGTTAATATTATTTTGTTCCTGTGTCGCCCATAACAAACAATTTATCATCTAGTATCTATTGTTCTGGGTTCCAAGCAGATTTTTTATATAGGAACAATGTTTCACTCAAATAATTATATTTTTGATTGAAAATAACTAAACATATTATTTTTGTTAAAAATCATTTCGTCCTCGGTGACGAAACATATTGATTCCACCAATTAATCATTTGAGTCAAACATATTAAAACATTTAAATACACACAACGTAATATTCCTGAATGATTTTGTAGTAGCAATGTTGAATGTTTATCTCGTAATAAAATCCTTCAGAAACATTACGTAATATAGTACAGTCACCAACCACTAAGGCTGCGAGCTTATCAACGACAGAAACTAACTGGATGTAAACTGGAAGTAAATCGGAACAAACTAACTATGTATATCAATCGCAAGAATCTACCAAAAAACATAAAAGTGTTCATGGTAAATAATTATTTTTTACATATCAGGTGTTAATTTTCTTCAAGCAAGCATTTTCGTTATCCATCAAGTTACCAAACAATATTAGAACACAAGAACGACGAAGTTCAAGCACGTCACAGGTAGGAACAGTCGGGTTTGCATGATATCCAAAGGAATACTTTAAAACGCCATCTTGTATCAAAAGTTTACCGATGTCGTGTGATACGTTCGCAGCCTAAGCCATCTAATTGATTAAAACATTTATAAAATGAGTAAATATATATATATTTATAGTTTATGTTAGTGTACATCTAATTTGTTACAATGTCTGTATATTGAGTGAGTAATTTTTTCGTTTTTTTTTAGTAAGGGTCATCCATAAAATAGTTTAGATATTAAAAAAGTTGTGATAAGAAAAAATACTAATTTCTTCTTTCATGATATTTGGGGTAAACGAGTAGACGAATTACCTGCACCTCAGGAGTCACAGTATAAGCATATGGTAGTCATAATAAACAGCCTTAATTTGTTTACTGCTGGACATAGGCCTCTCCTCTCCTACCCTCCTCTCTAGTAAGATTCGTTGTTAATTGGGGATCCCTTGTCAATATTATTTAGTTCATGTATAAATCTGTGTATTCATCTAATTACGAACCCTAGATGGTAATGTTACCAACTTAATCAGTAAGTACACAGTGCAGTCTTATTTGGCACTAACCCGCACCAGCCCCTACATACTTTGCAATTGAATTTTATATTACACATGGGATATGCTCTAATTAGTATTATTACTTCCCTTGAACATCGCATCAGATAGATCACTTAACAAACTAAACGCCCCATGTAAATACAACCCGGGATCAGATCGCATTAATTTTGGTCGAGCATTTGAAATTACTTTCGACACATATTTTAGGGATGACCCTTTCTAATTCTTTCCTAGTGGCATTTAATACTTATATTGGAAATTGTGTCGTACCTTAGGGGTTTGTTGTTCTCCGTTCTGTTCGGGGGATCCAGTGGGGACGGTGCCGTTTTCTTTCGGCTTGTCGTCTGCTGTGACCGACGACTTGTATTGCTGTAACTGTATTTAAATATTTAAAAATAAACAGTTCACGAAAATTATTACGTAACTCACATTATTATGCCGATAAAGATTTGTTTGTATAGAATTTTAGAGAAATACTCATTCAAAGGATAGATCATTCGTTATGACATTTAAAAAAAACGGAGTTTCTTTTTGTTGTGTATATACATATGGTGATCTGTTCTTCAACAAGAAGCCATTCCTGTATTCGAACATCAGGTACTCGTACTATTTTTTAACCGACTTCAAAAAGGAGGAGGTTCTATGTTCCACTGTATGTATTTTTTTTGTTTATTATGTGAAGCGGCTGCTCAGATTAGGGATGTCCCTACGCTTAGACAGCGAATTCACATTTTTTTCTGAATAATTCTGTTTGGAAGACACGCAGTTTATGGAAACATGGAATTATAGTTGCAAACTGTGTGTTTTTGATAAGGCCTGTCTTTTTAGGAATTTATTCACCTCTAAAAAATTACATGTTAAGTCTGAAAATATTACGAATAATAAGCTAAAAAATTAACTAACCTCTTCTTTAGTTAAAGCGAGCTCCTCTTCGAGCGCGGTGTTTCGCTCTAACGCGACCCGCAGCCTCTCGCGGACCTGAAATGTGTAAATAATAATGATAATAACATCACAAATCTCACACACGGCCGTCTGATCCCAAACTATGCAGAACCTGTACTATTGTAACCAGACTGCTGATAAAAAGTCTTATATATTTGTAAATACATACATACATATCATAGATAAACTACACCCAGTCACAGAACAATTGATCGTGCTCATCACACAATTATCTGTCCAGGGTGGAAATCAAATCCACGACCGTGGGTTCACGTTCACGTGGGTTCGACTGTGAAAGAGACACTAACCATTTTATATTGTATTGATAAATGTTGTTATTTATTTTCATGTACGAGGAATGACAATTATTTTCCTGAAGCATAAAAAAAACTAAAATAATTGGCGTGGAAAAGCTCTCTTCATTCTAACAAACAATCTGTAAGTCTCTATTAGATTTTCAGTAAAGAAACCAAACTGCTCTCAACCACATTTGATTGACTCTTTCTAACAGGAACTGTTCACAAAAAGCGTCAGAAGTTCCTACAAGACGATCTTTTGGCTTTTCTACTAAAAATTTACTTGTTATATCGGAAAGTCTAAAGAAGAAGAAGTCTAAAAAAGAAGAAGATATTTTTTTTAACTTTAAGACATAAAAATCAAAGTTCTTTTCACGTTCAGGATTTAACATTATACCCCTAACAGAGTAGTGATCAAACTTAGATTCGGTTATGAGTCTTTGACAAGTAGACAACTTGTCAAAGACTCATAACCGAATCTAAGTTTGATGAATGGATGGTTGAAAAGGAGGATGATTGACGACGATGAGACGTGGATTGAAGATGGTTAAAAAGGATTAAGGGATATCATAGCACAGTTGTAAAGATATAGTTGGGCTTTCATCGAAACCAAGATTAACAGATAATGTAAAACTGTCAGTGCTGGCATACCTTTTCGTCTAAGGCCTTGTGGTGTTCGAAGAGACTCTTGAGCGCCTTGAGCACCTCCACCTCGGAGGAGACGCCAGACTGTGCAGCCGCCTGCCGCTTCACCACCGTCATGCGCAGTGAGCGCTCGTGCCGCGACACCAGGCATTCTAAGTGCTCTAGTAGTAACTGTAACGTAGTAATAATAATATTAGAAATTGAAAAAAATAGTCAGAGTTGACATTTTAATTAAATCCATACTGAGGACTTAATGATACTTCAATAAAATTTTAAATGTTCAGTCACAAATGATCATTGGCACAGAATTAATAATAACCTCACACATCTCACACACGGCTGTCTGATCCCAAACTAGGTAGAGCCTGTACTATGGTAACCAGACTGCTGATAAACATACTTATGTATTTCTTAATACATACATATTATAGATAAAGTACACCCAGATACAGAACAAATAAACGTGCTCATCACACAATATTTGTCCTGGGTGGGAATCGAACCCACTAGACCAACAGGCCCGTGTGACATATGTTCGAACAAATACCAACTACCGCAAAAATGCATTTATTCGAGCCAGTAGATCTATAATTGACATGCATAAATTGAGTAGCGAGATTGAGCTCTTCAGATCCAGACCTTCACATGTCAAAAACTACATGCTTCAAAATTTTTTAAGGACAGTATCAGGAGCGTAATTTTTTTAGTCTAAGTTTTTCTTTTGTTTTTTCTTGTTTCCAAAAACTTGTTATTTTGTTAAATGATTTTCTTTTTTATTGGTAAGTTATTTAAACTGTTGTTTTACACTTGGAATCTATTTGCTAATACCTGTGAATAGCTTCGTTATTACATTATTATAATGTTTACCTTACGTTATTTGTGTTGTTGGTATTCCGAACAAAATGAAATAAAATTCCAGGTTTTGTTCCTAAGTGCAATTTAGTTTACTAACAAGTGTTTTAAAGCTATAATTCTTTTAATGCAATTTTCTAACCTTGATAAACAAGAGTAGTCATTTACCATGAGGTGATCTGAGGATCTGAGGAGGTGATGATGAGGGTATCTGAGGTCAAAGCTTTACTATATCACACATTATAACCACGGACCACACCGATATGGTGTAAATTAACTCGTCAGCAGGTATATAACATATATATGTTACAGTCAGAACTCTTAACCGATCAAAGGTTTAACCGGAAAAATCAGTCCAAAGTAATTTGACCACAACATCATTATGTACCTTGGATAATCGTAGTATTACGAATTATTTCAAAACAAATCGGTTATACGCATATAAGATCTCGATGAGTGGCGTAAGTTGAAGGAGGCCTACAGCGGAAGGGTCTAGCTGACCTGGAGTGAGAACATCATTTTAAGAAAAAGCTGAAATTCTACCTAATTTCACTGTTGCGATTATGAGTTATTTTGTTGTGCTTTCACGACTTCACTGCAAATAATTTAACGTACTGAATCGAAAATCATAAATTCTGCAAGGCTATTCTTTGCTAGGTAAATACACAAAAGGATCAATGAACACACAAAAAAAAATTATCTCAAGTATACAGACATTGATTAAAACATTTTCAAAAATTACTCCAGAGGCTTGGCAACCTAGGTAACTATTTAAAAAATAGCTAGTCTATTTAAAAAATTCTGTCAAAAAAAAACTACTAAGTATAAAGGTATTATGGCTTCTCCAAAATGAAATTGCTTTGAATTTATAAAATAATTTATTAGAAACAAAACAAAATCTAGTCTCCAGTCTTAAAACCCGCAAATAATTTAATTAAAAGTAAATAGAGGCAGTTTCAAATATAAATTAGTAAACAGACTTTACTCATTCGCCTCTTTAGTAAAACGAGGAGTGAGGATCCAACCCCCCCGACTCTAATCCTGGGGAGAGGGATTTTGTTTGTAAGACAATTAACAGATACATTAGATATTTCTTTCTCATTGATTCCTCTCATCATCAAACCAAGCAGGTCCCTGCTAATTCGGGTAAGGAAACGGAATTGACCAACTTACTCCCAAGACAATATTGATTGAAAACCAATCTATCATTTTAGTCGTGTGTGCCTGTGTAAGACGAAGGGTATTTTATTGTGATTAATGAGGGCAAGAATTACCCTTGCTAATTGGAACTCACGGGATACAGGATTAAACAATGAGATTAACACAAATGAATACCTTTTGAATTGTAGTAAATTTTGGTATTAGTATTGGCGTATACTAATGGTTAGTTTAAGTTTTAGACTACGGCAATGATATCCTGAAATATAATTTGGGCAAGGGCTATGATACGAATTGCGATAATACCTATGAGATGTTAAAAAATTGAAGAACCAGCCAAAAAATGTTAATTGAGAAGTAGTAAAACTAAAAGCGCAGTTTTACATTTATTTTTGTAGTTGTGACGAAATAACGTAAGACTTAGAATAAAGATACCACTACGAGTACTGTAATACTTCCCAAGCGTTCACAGGAAGTCGACTTTCGGTCAATGACGCGGGCTTAAGATAAAAGATTATAGCTAGATTGTCCTGTGCACTTCACCACAAGAGTTACCTTTGAGATAAGCCGCGCAAGATGTTGAAGGAGGTTTCGGCATCATATATACCAGGTGCTTATGTATTAAAGATATATTTCAACTTTAGTAAACGGATGCTCTCCTAACATACTTAATCTATACGAGTATTAATGAAGGAAACTGGAGAACTCGTTTCTTTGTTAGTAAATCGCGAATCTATACTAATATTATAAAGCTGAAGAGTTTGTTTGTTTGAACGCGCTAATCTCAGGAACTACTGGTCCGATTTGAAAAATTCTTTCAGTGTTAGACAGCCCATTTATCGAGGAAGGCTATAGGCTATATATCATCACGCTAAGACCAATAGGAGCGGAGCACCAATGAAGAATGTTTAAAAAACGGAGAAAATTTATTACTATTGAGAGACGCAGACGAAGTTGCGCGGGTCAGCTAGTCTAGTGATAATTTTGTAATACCCTTAACAACTAAGTACGGAAAAAAAGCACAGAGAATTGCTGCTAAGACGCTATTTGTAGTAAAGAATCGCTGTGCTGGTTTATCTAACCTCTACTACCCTTATGAGTCTACTGTATGTGCTGACTATTATTGCACCTACTACTGTTAATAACCACCTGTATCACCTTACGATCAGGTATTTCCTATTTACAAAGAACACAGTTGTAACCACTGAGGCTTCAGAAGGTCTTTCACAAGTCACCGATTTCTTTTCAAATATAAATAGTATGGTTTACATAAATTTTCTAATAACGGTAACTTTAATGTCAATACGAGCATTTTTTGGCTTGTTTGCTAATTTAACAGTATCAAAACCATTTTTTTATCTACTAGACCTTATTACTAAATAAATAATTGAAATAAACAATTTTCAAAGAGTCTTCTACGTACCCTGGTATTGTTTCTCTCCGCCTTTAGCTCTGAAATCTCCTCTTCTCTCTCGAGAAGCTGCTCTCTGGCCTGATTGAGTTCCTTTGTGAGCGTCGCGAACTCCTGTTGACAAATAAAAAAAAAAGTATTAGTTAAAAGATAGAAATGGTCTTTTTTTTCTTCGCTAGTTGGTTTTAACGAGAATCGTTTTTTAAATACCAAGGACTTTGGAAAGCTTCTCTCCTGGTCTTAAAAGTGGTAGCCAATTTCAAATATCTCTTGACAAAGACGAGAGTGTGTGTACAAGTGTTGAGTAAGTAGTTTAAATAATACATCCTTTAAACATTCATCAATAATTTGATCTTAGGAATCACAAATAATTCTTTAAGTTCAAATTTGATGATTTCTTTTTTGTTTATTTGCTTCAAAAGTAATATATACAGATATTTTCTACAATTAACTACCTAGATATTTTTGTAGTCTTACAGTTATCCAGAAAAGGATGAAAAATCTACAAAATATATATATAACACATAGCAAAATGTCATCACCAAACATCTGAAAGGGTCTTTGAAAGTTTTACGATATGGAAGATTGATTTCTCTACTAAAACAGTGCCTTTACACTGTATTGAAAAATATTTTATTTACTCAAAACGGTTTTAAAACAGAACATAAACTCCAAAAAGCCGCCGAGCCAGCGAGAACAGTTCTAAAATCACTTTATATCGAAGTTAAAGAATATTCGGAGAGGACACAGGTATACCTCAAAGTACGTTTAAAGTCCCGCGGGACTAAGACGAGGTCGACCAACTGACACGGAACGTTACAGACACGCCAACTCATCACGAGACTTGCTTCGCTTTGTTGTGGTCTAGCGATGATTTTAGTTTGCATAATACGTTTAAAGATTAAGTAAGACGATATTTTAACTTAGTAGAAGCTATTACAGGTAAATTAGCTTGGAGAAATTTTTACGTTTGTAGTAGTGTATGGTAGCGTAAACTGGTTTATTCTGGTTTTGTGCGTGTTTCCACTTTCCACTATCAAGTGACGATTTTTTGCTTTAGATTGAAATATCTCGGAAACGGTGCGTCCTAGGCCAAAAATAACAAAAATTTTGACCCCCCCGTAGACCCCCCGGAGTTTTAAAAACCTAGATAGAAAGGAAAAAAAAAAAAATTAAATATCGGTCTCTCCTCTTTGAAGATTCACGTCTATTGTGTGTGAATCGCACACACACCTTTTTTTTTATAAAGTCAAAACCTTTTTCTTTAAAATAAAAACTTGTTTTTATTGAAAACAAAAATCAGAGTGTTGCTAGGGATAAGTATAAAATTAAATAGTAATGTTAGGATATCGAAACATTTTTGTATAGGCTAGAACGATATAGTGGAAACGCGCTCTAAGATCTGAGTAATATACACACCACTACATATGCAAAAATTTCTCGAGACTAATTTCACTGTAATCATTTTTTATCAAAAAAACCCGGGTTGAACTCTACCGAAGGTATGATAAGGCTAGATCATGATAAAAAAACTACAAAAAGTTGCCATTTCGGAGTCGAACCTCTGGTATTTATGCCGGCGATTAGCACCACCACACCAGACGATGCGTAATTAATGTGTAAATCGGGATTATGAGCTAAAATAAGTATAAAGTACATATATTACACTCTTTTCCTAGTTATTTTACGTTAGTCACTTTCTATCACTTACCTGTCTCCTCGTTTACCCCTATGCGATAAAAAAAAACTCGGTTGACAGGTTCGGCAATAAGTAAACAATCTTAAATACTAATAACTAATGGCAAAAATCATTCTTGTGCTGACACAGGAATATATGAAATATAAGTATAGACTTAAAATAACAAATCAAAACACGATCATTAAAAGTTCCGAGGTTATGAGCGCCGAAAAAATTCAGATTCCAATAACAATCTGTTCTAAGGAGTAACATTTAAAAAAGGGAAAGATAAATTGCAGACGAAAAGTTGAGTAATTTATTGAACTCTAACACAAGTCAATCGTTTGATTTTCCCCTATTTTAAAAACATAAAAATCTCCTTCCATTTTACCTTTGATTTCAAACTGTAATAGCTTCCTAGAAAAATCTGGTATTCAATGTTTTTTTTGCTCCAGTCGCTATCAACTTTGTCCGACTTACACAACTTGCAAATTGGACTTGCTTTTTTTAAATTGTCCTTTGTGTATCTACCTCATTGGATAGTCGTCAAGTCAGAAAATCTTTGTTAAGTAATGTTTGTTTTAATAACAGGATCGTTAAAGAGATGTTATGATTACGCCATCTTAGCATTCACTGTTCGGGAAGCGATAGCAGTAAAATAAGTACGAACATCAATGAATTTAATGCTTAGATTTCAACATAATAGCTTTTTTGATAACTTTAAGATTCAATAATGAGCTTTCCCTCTTTTATATTTAACTGACTTTAAAAGAAGAGGCTCTCAATTCGACTGAATATTTTCAGTTTTTGTGTGTGTTTCCAATTGAATTTATTGTACTTGACTTAATTCTAGCTAGCGTCTTAATTTATCATACTTATCATTATACTTTTTTCGAAGATTAAGAGAAAGTTCACTTATATATTTTGTTCGATAATTAAAAAAAAACTCCCAACGAGGTGTATTTTTCCATGTATGTAGTCTATTTAAAAATTAAAAATCAACCGATTAAAAAAAACATTATAATAATAATAATAACTTCACACATGTCACACACGGCCGTCTGACTCCAAACTAGGCAGAGAAAGTACTATTGTAACCAGACTGCTTCGTCAAAAGTAGATTTTAAACCATCAGGAATCATCATTATAACCCACATTTTTTTGCTCAAAATACAGTGTCTGAAGTTTTAATACCCATGATTGCAGCCTAAATTGATTCAAATGCACGTGGCGAATGGTGGCACTTTTTTTATTTAATTGAATAATTAAAGAAAACATAACAAAAAGGTATAACCGCAAAGTACAAAAAAATCTTATCTCTGAAAAGAGCAGTTGTATTTCGAATATTATATTATCAGGCGATAAAAAATATGTTTTTCCATTTCGAGTTTCCTCTGTGGAATATGTTCTAGATTGAAAGACAGATACGGGCCGACTGTGTGCCGGAGACCGCCACTTACATTTTCCTTTTAAATCACAATATCCATAAAGCAACAAAATAAGTACGAAGGTTCTGGGTGATATATACTTGTCGAAGCCTGTAGTTTATAATTGATATACTTGAGGTACGAGGGGTGATCAATAAGTAATGATAATCAATATGAAACAGAACTATTAGATTAAAAAAAGTATTTTATTTTTCAACATAGTCTCCTTGCAAGTTAATACATTTAGTGTATCTTTTTTCTAAGCCCATGATTCCCTTAGAAAAAAATTCTTTGTCTTGACCCTCCCAAAATGCCTCTACTGCGGCCATCACTTCACTATCGTCCTCAAATTTGTTGCCCCGGAGGTGTTCTTTGAGCCGAGGAAAGAGGTAGAAGTCACTGGGAGCTAGATCTGGCGAATAGGGAGGGCGTTCGAGCAGTTCGAACCCCGTTTCTTCAATGGCAGCCATCGCAACTGCGGCTTTGTGAGCCGGGGCGTTGTCTTGGTGAAACAGCACTCCAGCGCGCAGTTTACCGCGTCTTTTTGACTTAATAGCTTCTCGCAATCTTCTTATTTGGCCTGCGTAGTAAGAGCCTGTTATAGTGGCCCCCTTTTCCAAATATTCCACCATAATAATTCCTTCTGCATCCCAGAAAACCGACGCCATAACCTTTCCCGCTGAACTTGACACTTTGAATTTCTTCGGCGTTGGTGAGGAAGCTCGTTTCCAAGTCATTGATTGTTGTTTGGTTTCGGGATCAAAGTGGTGGATCCAGGTCTCGTCCATGGTCACAAAACGCGACAAAAAAAATTCTTTATCGGCCTGGAACTTTTGAAGATTCACCCTCGAAATGTCGACTCGTTTCTTTTTTTGCTCGTCGGTTAACATTCTCGGTACTCAACGCGCAGAGACCTTTTTCATATGCATTTTATTGACAATGATTTTTTTAACGCTGCCATAGGAGATCCCTATGACCTCAGCTACATGCCTTACGGTCACCCTTCGATCGGCCAACACGATATCTTAAACTTTTTTGACGTTTTCTCCAGTAAGGGACGTGGAAGGGCGTCCCTCGCGATGTTCTGCCCAGCTTAAATTCCTTTGCCCAGCGTGCGACTGTGGAATATGGAGGAGCAGACTCCCCCAATGTTTCCTCTAAGTCGCTGTGTATGTCTTTGGTAGACATTTTTTTCAGGCAGAGGTACTTGATGACAGCTCTTATTTCATTTTTCTCCATTTTGATGTTTTCTCTTCGACAGTTCGTATTCAAATGAATGTATCTCCCGGTAATCGTGTCCTATTTATACATTTTTTTGAAGCTGAAGTAGTGGATATATAAGCAAGCAGAAAAAAAATAATTTGGGTTTTTGTGCGTTCTAGAAATACTCGATTATCGTTACTTATTGATCACCCCTCGTATATGCATATTTTACAGTCGGGGTAGTTAGTTAAACCTGAGAATATTGTTTGTTTCATGCGCCTTGTACTACATTTCAACACGTTCTTAAATAAACATCCTCAGATAAATCCCAAATAAATATGCAATATTTCTTATTTTTAGTGCTTTAGTGTTTTGTGTGATTGTTAAGAATTGAAAGATTATTCTATGATAAATAGTTCATACACGTCAACAACGTGAGACTTAGAATAATAAAAGACCTGATGACGACCCGTAAGTTAAGTAAGATGAGGACCCTTATTCACATTAAATTAGATAAATAATATAAGTTTAACTTTTTTGCAGTAATTAATTGTATGTTTAAATAAAAATGCATCAAATAATTATACATACTTCTTAAAAGCGAGTAGAAAAAACCTCGGAATGCGATCGAAGAGGAACATTATACCTATACGAATCTCTCTCAGAATGCTCTTCCCTCCTCAAAGTTATCTACGCACGGAGACGTGAGCCGACAGAGGGCTTTGCAGATATTCCTCCTAATTTACAGCTTCAATGTGAGCATTGATTTATTAGTCGCATAAACTGTATGTAGATAACAAGTTTTTAGAAGTTCTAACAAGTCTTTTGAGTGTGGTAAGAAGAACTTTGAACTTCTTAGCTACGGCTAACGAGTATTTTATCTTTCAATAAAAAGGTTGTTAACACTCTTTTATTGGCTTGATTTGTAACTCCGTAAAGTCCGTGTAGTGACGGATTAACAATACGGAATGTCACTACCCTAATTCATCCCGTGGGTGGCCGACTAAGGGCGCAAAACCCCAGCACTGCAAAAAGAAGGCAAACTTGACACAAACCCTATATCAACCCGTCTGGCCAGCGTGGTATAGTAGGCCAAAACCTCCTTTCTAAGGAGAGGCCTATGTCCAGCAGTGGACTATTAAAGGGTGATGATGTAAAAAAATCTTAGGAGTATGAACTCCTAAGATTTTTTTGACCTGCTTCTAGTTGTCTCGAAATGAAACTATGTATGTTTTTGTAGTTCGAATGACAATACTATTCTCAGAGTTTTATATGATTCGGTTTCGTCAAACAGATTCAGTTTGGTAACGAAGGCCTGATGGCAGCTTATACTGTTGCGGCATGTCGCTTCACTCCTTCATAACAGGCCCCTGTTGTGACCGAATCTAGACAGGCTCTTCTGAAATAGACCTATGATTAAAATCGTGTATCTTTAGTTATATAAATATTTGTTCGGTCGGATCCATATAACAGAGTTATCCGCGCTTCATTAGCTCAATTTCACTTATCCAGTAATACTGCACCCTCCGCTCGCGCCGTGGGGTGTCATCGTCCGTAAGTGAGGTGCACCCCGCGGTGCTACACCCAGCTTGTATTGACAGCATTACTGAGATACTTTGTCTGTTATATCAAACTAGCTTTTGGTCGCATCATCGTTCCCATAAATTTATGTTTCTATTACTTAGAAATAGCTTTTTTTTTGCGGATTAAACCTTAACCTATATTCTTTTCTGTTCCCTGTCGATGTGTACGAAAAATTTCATGATTATGGGTACAGCAGTCTAACCAACGAACAAACTTACATTAATTTAATACAGTAGAATTAGACTACTGTTTGCTAGATAATTAGAAAGATTCAGTTTTCGCATTGTATCTGGGCTCAGCACTACGTGTAACACTGCAAAGCATTTTCATTTGTGTGTTTCATGAATGAATGAATGAAAGCGTTAACGAAAGGAGAAGATAATATTGAGTATAAACTACTTTAAATGAGGCCTGTTAACTATTGACCTGTCATTTTGATAGTACAGAGACTAGAATATAGAAATAATAGTTCTGTGAAGCAGAAAAACGAATAACAAAATTTTAAAATTTTTTACTAAAATTTTACTAAACTATACGAAACTATAAAACGTCATAATTTTGAATTTGAAAGTACTTTACATTAGTTACTATGGGTCACAATCCTATGTAAACCATATTTAATGTGTAAATTAGAGCAACTCACGAATCCACAAAAAAATCCTCTAACAATAACGGTACAATATAGAGTTGTTAGCAGACTAAGAATATTCTAGTTTACCAGATGGCCCCCAGGGAAGGCGAGTTGTGGAATTTCATTAATATCATGTCCTACAGCATGTAGCTTGGGACATCGGCACGTCATAATCAAGCCGCTGGCACAGACAGCTTGAATATTCATTTCTATGCGTTAATGCGGCGGTAATCTAAGTTGTCGATAATAGTTGATGATATGATTGGATAACAAATGGTTTAAAGTTTAATAGAAGGATTTAAGGAAATGTGGGATTTGGAAAAAGCGTTGTGGCATTTTAATTGTTGGAAAAATTGGTGCATGTATATAAGGTAATCCGATAAATGTGTAACCAGATATCTTCGGTTTATCGTTCACATTTTTTTTTTCAATATTAAAGTAGCAAATAATAATTTATTTTACGTTAAAATATACTTCGGGAAGTCAAACGTGTGAGATCGGGTATTGTATTCGAGTTTCTAAACGCTTATGATTTTTACTCAGATTTACAGCTACTCAAATTTAGTAAGAAGGTACTCAAAAGATAATCGACTATTTTACATATAAATTTAGATAAACTTACGCCTCTCTATCCAAACAGTCCTACATTCCCTTTTGTCTTAACATGCTTTACGAGTTCCTGTACCGTCATTTGATTTTTTATTATTTTCATAATGAAACTACCATTTTCAATCTGATCAAGTCCCCGAAGTCCACGATTTCAGTATTTAGATTCCACAGACAGATATCAAGGCTTAGACTCAGAAAGTTTGAGATGTTTCCTAGCGCTATCGAAACCGTGACTAAAGTTCTATAAACTAAATGTCTCCATCAATACCGACATCACATCGTGAACTGCACCCTCGAAGCTTTACTTTCATTCAATTTCCTAGTACAAACATCGCGCCAGTAGTTTCAATTAGTACAGTGGTCCCAAACCGAATCAATTTCCGGCAAAAAATATTAAACATGACACTGCAGTGACGTTCGGGTTTCCGGATAATACCGACCATTTCCAAGTTTTTACAGCTAAAGCTTGCGAATTGAGATACGTGGAACATTTATCCGCGTTCTTGGGAGTCAGTATTTTGGATATCGTTTACTGTTATTTACTACCGCTACTTTTAGGCTTAGATAATTGTATGCTGATATTTAAAAAAAATATAACGGCACGTCAAGCACGATAAATATCGTGGCTATTTTGCCACTATTACTTCTAGTCTATTACTACTAGTATTGTGAGATTGATTATATTTTCCATACGGGATAAAAATTTGGGTGATCCAATAGTTGTCTCGAATATGGATATTTTTACGCCAATTTTTTTTCGATGATGTTTGCAAATAATGTTCATTTCTGTTGCTTAAGGGTCCGTAAAATATCCGTGGTAATAGGGGGGGGGGGGGGGGGGGTATTGGTCAGTAAGCTGTTAGCGTTGTGAAGCCTACCACGGATGAAGGAATGATTAGCAGAGCTGTGACAAATAACGCAGATAAAACTGAGAGGGACTACTAGTTACATATAAGTTAATACGTTAATACATATAATATATTAATACATACACATACGTATATATATATATATATATGATAGCAGACTATATAACCCGACCAATACACCAGGGTCAGTAGACAAGGCTTTACGACTCCGAGGTATGATATTAGTTTAATGGCTACTGATACACTTTGGGCTGGCACTGTTTTTAGATGTTGATAATTCAATCAAGATAAGGAAATACCGAAGTAAGTGCGGATTATATTTAGAAACGACGGTTAGCGCAATTTCTAAAATAAAAATTGATGATTATGTTGAAGATAATAGACAAGAAACACTACGCAGAACACCAGCACTGCAGGGAGAAGGAAAACTTGACACAAACCCTTTACCAACCCGTCTGGCCAGCGTGGTATAGTAGGCCAAAACCTCCTTTCTAAGGAGAGGCTTATGTAAAGCAATGGACTAGTAAAGGCTGTTGAAGTGATGTGAATAGACATGATAGAACAGATTTATGGTTAAATGCCTATTCAACTGGAGATGGGCTCTAGCCGCCTGACTTACTCGGTGAAAACCAATAGAATAGCTTAACACCGGTTTTCTGTGATGCCGTAGCATCATTCCGGTGGAGCTATGATCATATGTGTCGTAGTATGGCTCTCCCATACGTTAACACAATTTCATTATTTTAAGTGTACGAAGTACGTCTCCGCTAGTAGGTACTACGATAAACAGAAGGTCAATTCTCGTAATAAAAGTTCGGGAAAATTTCAGTTCCGATCAACTCTTAAATCTCACAACTGTCATAATAGGTGATATCGTAGTCAAGTATAAAACATTCAACGTTGACTGTAATGTGATAATATCGTATTGTGACCGAAAATTGAATCAATATTTCACTAGTCTTAGTAATACTTTCCTATTTTACTACGAAAATACCTTTTATGATAGATGCGAGATTGATTGTTGATCGGAACTGAATTGTGACCGAACTTTTACTACGAGAGTTGGCCTTCAGATACAAGAACATTCAAGTAATAGTACAACAAGACATGACTACATTTTGTAACAAAATTGAAATACTTGCAAAGAACAAATTTCAACTAGTTAAATACGACACAAACTCGAGTAAGGAACGTCCGACCGTACAAGAGCAAAATCAGAAGTCGTTGAGAATACTCAAATGGAATCAGAAGAAACTTCTTTTTCTATAACTTTTAAGACATATATTTAGTTTTCAATGTGTATTCTGAATTCCAAAGGAAAAATACGGTTGGAGAATTCAAGCTCACTAGCTGAACATTAAAGGTATTTGTACCAGCATATCTGACAGTACTGTAGAATAAGAATGCACCTACCGACTATTACTTTTTCCAAAATTTAGACAACTTTTTAGTGGGTAAAAAAATCAATTCCCGAGAGGCAGTACAAAATGCCTTTGAAGAGTTTGTTGCCTCCTGTCCAGCTGATTTTTACAAGAAGGGCATCAATAAACTGCCAATGCGTTGACAAAGATGCGTCGATTGCATGGGTGATTACTTCAAATAACAGAAATAAAAAAGTTTGAAAAAATAAGTACTTTCACTTATTGCATACAAAACGGCAATTTCATAGGTAAAGACCTAATATTTCTGACTGTATTGACAGACTCGTTGGCTAATTGTTAGTAATCCTGGTTGCTAAGTCAGAGATCGTAATATTAACCCAGGATAAGTTACGATAAATGTCAGACAGCAAATAATCGTGCTCATGAGACACGTTTTTTTAAGCGTTTAAGCGGTCATCTCGTCGCTTACTACTGCGCTGAGTGTTTTGGGTTCGATCCCCACATGGGACACTGTGTGATCCACGAATTGTGGTTGAGTCTAGGTGTATTTTGTGTCCGTATGTTCGTAAAGTCCTCCGCGACACAGGATTCATTCTTAAAAAAGGAGTTCTTTTAAAAAAAATAAAAAATGAATTATTTGTCCTGGGTGGGAATCGAACCCTCCTCAGGCTTAGCAGTCAGGATCACAAACCACTAGACGAACAAGCTCGTTTACAATCTCCAAGGGTCAAAGTTGAGTGGTGATGAATGAATGTAGGTTATTTTAATTTCTAATAACTTGAACCTTGAACTATCTAAGTTGCTTAGTACTCATAATAATAATTTCAACGATCTTACATAAGGCAGTATGATCCCAAACTAGGCAGAACCTGTACTATGGCAACCAGACTATTGATAAACATACTTATATATTTCTAAGTACATACATATTATAGATAAATTATACCCACAATATTTGTCCTGGGTGGAAATCGAACCTTTCGAACCCGCTACCTCTGACTTAGCCAGTGTCACCAACCGAATCTCACCTAGGACAAATTGTCCAATAAGCATAATCATGTTCTCTGTGCCTAGGTGTAATTTATCTATAATATATTTTATCAGCAGTCTGGTTACCATAGCACTGGGTCTGCTAAGTCTGGGATTAAACTGATGTTTGTAAGTTAAGTGAAGTTATTATTATTACCAATATACAGGTCATCGCTTAACTCAACTCTAAGAGTAGAGAATAAACTCACACTCCACATTCAATCCATCTCATGAAACTTCCTCTACGAACGTTAAAAGTTAAAAAAAAAAAAAATCTTCACCGTGGCATACATAATCGATTCGAATGTATCATTTTAAAACTTCTCCAATTTCTAAATATAATAATGAATTGGTGATGTGAGGAACTTTCTTTTATAGGAGACAGTGATGTATCGCTAACAAGTTGTTATAACTTATTACACATAGATAATGTTAGCTATGTCTCCAAGCACTATCTTCATACAATCAAAAACGATGTCATAGTTTTCGCATGTTACTAACCTGCAGCAGCGCGGTATGCACTCGGCACGTGCAGACGGCTCCGTTCTTGCGCGCGCAGGGCGTGCCGAGCCACGCGCACGCGCCGCTGCCGCGCTGCATAGCGCGCGACCATCCCTGGGAGCGCACCGCACGCGCTACACCATTCACATTACTCGCAACACCACACTTGCACACTCACGGGATATTTTATAGTCAACTTATTTATTTGCAGTATTCGAATTCTGAATTTGTTTAGATTATTTCGATATTTTAGTAGGCTTAGTTCGTTTTCTCGTTCAGTAAACGTGAAAACTTAAAAGAACTTACTTGATAATTTTCCTATTCGTACCTCGTATTTTATATTTCTAAACACGGACAGAAACTGACAGATTAAGTTTACGGGACTGGGATTTAAAACTGTCATGAGATTTTAATTATTATCAATACTTTTTGATTAGCAAACTTTTAACTATTCCCGCCCGCTTGTTTGCTCCTATATCAAATACAAAGATCTCCCATTTTAAAACAGTAGTCTATGGGAAAATATCACAGTGAACTTTGTATTATATATAGCTTAACGCCTCCCTACATAATATTTAAAGAAAATACTAGATTTACTGTCCATCCATCTCCCACAGCCTATAACAGTTCACTGCTGGACATAGGCCTCTCCTTAGAAAGGAGGTTTTGGCTTACTATACCACGCTGGCCAGACAAGTTGGTATAGGGTTTGTGTCAAGTTTTCCTTCTCTTTGTAGTGCTGTTGTCCTGCGTAGTTTGCCCCCTTAATCGGCTCTTACGACACCCACGGGATGAATACGGGTGGTGACATTCCGTA